GGAAAGGTGACCGACTGAGCTGGAATTACTGCCGCCTGGCACCTTGCCAGGCCGCAGCTAGGCACGAGTTCTTCGCCTTGCCCTCGTCATCGGCTTTGCAGAAACCTGAGTCCACGACCCAGACCCCGCTTCCATCCCTGACTTCAGGTAGTTAGAAGGGGTCGAGCGGAGAGGGCGCGGGACGAGCTATATTCCAACCGATCGACCGTGGGTCTCCAGGGCCTCAGCCTGGTCTCTTCCCACAGGCTGGTGCTCGCCGCCCGAACAGCCGACTCCTCTGGCCGGCGCAGGCCCCTGTGGACAGCGGCTCCGCAAAGGGCTGTCCTCGCTGAATCGCGTCGTCGGAGGACTGGTGGCGCTCCCCGGGGCACACCCCTACATCGCCGCGCTGTACTGGGGCCAACATTTCTGCGCCGGCAGCCTCATTGCTCCCTGTTGGGTGCTGACTGCGGCTCACTGCCTGCAGAACCGGTGAGTGTCCTCGAGCTCAGCTCCCCGCCCGGGACCCCCCTAGCGCCTCTCTCCTCTGCGCTCAGCTTCCGCGCGACACCCGAACTCGTGCGCTACCTCTCTGCGTCCCCGCCCACATTTGCCCCATTCTCCCTTTCAGAGCTTCCCAGGAGGAAGCCGAAACCTATTTAGAGGTTCGGAAGAAGGGGGCTCCCGCAGGATGCCTGTGGCCCGCTCTGAGCGCGCTTCCTTTTCCCGACCCTATCCCCAGACCCGCGCCGGAGGAGCTGACCGTGGTGCTCGGCCAGGACCGCCACAACCAGAGCTGTGAGCAGTGCCAGACGCTGGCAGTGCGGGACTACCGCCTGCATGAGGCCTTCTCCCCCATCACCTACCAGCACGACCTGGGTGCGTGGAGGAACCCCCGCGGGGATCAGGGAAAAGGGTGGGCAGAGCTCGAAGTCCGGGCGTCCCGGTCTCACGCTTCTCCTCGCCCGGCTTAGCTCTGGTGCGCCTACAGGAGAACGCGGACGGCTGTTGCGCGCACCCGTCGCCTTTCGTTCAGCCAGTATGCCTGCCGAGTAGCGCCGGCCGCCCCGCCGAATCCGAAGCCGCAGTCTGCGAGGTGGCCGGCTGGGGTCACCAGTTCGAGGGTAGGCAGATCGGCTGGAAGCGGGAGGGAGGCCTCTGGCCACCGGGGTAGGCAAGAGAAGCCTGCGGGTGGGCAGGTGGGGTCTATCTGGTGGATTGTGGAGACGTTCGGGGCCCCTGTCTCTGCAGTCTGCTTCTCCAAGGGCTTGAAATTCACTCCTGGGGGAGTGGGGGAGTCCCCAGAACTCCTGTGGTGAAGCGGGAGACCCGCACGTTCTCTGGGTTCCCTCTGGGCACTGGGCTGCAAGGGCTACTAGAACGCTGGCCCGCGATGGAGCCGCAGGTGGGTTGGATGGGGAGCAAGGTTTTGAGCCACTGGATGGGAAGTGGGGGTGGGGTTCAGAAGCAGTCCTGTTTCCTCCTGGTCGGTTCTCATCGCAGCTCCTCTCTGGCTTCCTGTCTATGAGGTAGGTGTTAAAGGCAACTCATTCCCTTCCAGGCTTGCTGCGAGGGAGACAGGAGATTATAGCGGGTTTGAAAGAGCCTGGTAAAGCCAGGTCCATGGCCTGGGCGTCAAGCAGACTCTGGAGGGGTGTGAGGAGGGTGCTCTCGGTTCGCAGGTGGGGAATATTCCAGCTTCCTGCAGGAGGCTCAGGTGCCACTCATCGACCCGGAGCGCTGCTCCGCCCCCGACGTGCACGGAGCCGCCTTCACCCGAGGCATGCTCTGCGCTGGCTTCCTCGAGGGCGGCACCGACGCGTGCCAGGTGAGCCTGGGGCCCGCTTGGCGCCCTTCCCCAACCCAGTCAAGGGTGGACTCCCAGCCAAGGACGCTGAGCCGCGTGTCCCCAACCCAGGGTGACTCCGGAGGCCCTCTGGTGTGTGAGGATGAGACCCCTGGGCGCCAGCTCATCCTGCGAGGCATAGTCAGCTGGGGCTCAGGTTGCGGCAACCGCTTCAAGCCGGGTGTTTACACCGACGTGGCCAACTACATAGCCTGGATTCGGGAGCACACGGCTTCCTGACAGCCCGGCGACTGTCTTTCCCTTCTGAGCAGTTCTGGAATGGAAGCGTGGCTGACGGGGAGCATTATGGATAGCAAAGATTGTTTTCCATTCCCCCAGCACTTCCAGCCCAGGGCTGGGCATGGCATAGGCACTCAATAAAGTGCTTTTGAAGATGCTTGAAAGGTTCAGTCTTCAAGGTCCTGTTGGGAAACGCCAAGACAGTTTGTGCCCTGTGCTTAGTCGCTCAGTCGTGTCCGACTCATTTGCAACCCCATGGACTGTAACCTGTCAGGCTCCTCTGCCCTTGGAGAGTCTCCAGGCAAGAATATTGGAGTGGGTTGCCATGCCCTCCTCCAGGAGATTTTCCCAACCCAGGGATCGAACCCAGGTCTCCCGCATTGCAGGCGGATTCTTTACCCAAAACAGTATACCGGTACTCAACTTCTTCAGACCCAGTCAGAGTACAGAATCTATTGAGATCTGATGCAAGATTTAAATTCATGTTCAGCTGATATTTACTAAGTCACACTGTGTACCAAACCAGTGTGAGGTGATTCCATGAATATGAAACTAATATTTTAAGTTTACAGGAGTTCTCAACCTTGACTGTACATCAAATCACCTTGGGGAGCTTTTTGAACCTATGCCCAACATCCACCTCAGGTCAACTAAATCAATATTTCTAGGGATGGGGGTGGGTGGCCGGATGTTTTTTAAAACTCCCCAGGTGATTCTATCCGCAGTGGAGGTTGAGAACCATGGTTAGAGGTACTTAACATTAGGGAGTTCCCTGGCAGTTCAGTGGTTGAGACTCCATGCTTTCAATACAGGGGGTGCAATCCCTGGTGGGGGAACTAAGATCCTACGTGCTGCTACCAAAAGATATATATATATAAAGTACTCAACATTAAAACAGTGGCGTGAGCCCTTAAGGCTGCTGGCGTGGAAGCCCCTTCTGCTGCTTCAGCTGCTAAGTCGCTTCAGTCGTGTCCGACTCTGTGCGACCTCATAGAGGGCAGCGCACCAAGCTCCCCTGTCCCTGGGATTCTCCAGGCAAGAACACTGGAGTGGGTTGCCGTTTCCTTCTCCAATGCAGGAAAGTGAAAAGTGAAAGTGAAGTCACTCAGTTGTGTCCGACTCTTAGCGACCCCATGGATTGCAGCCTACCAGGGTCCTCCGTCCATTCCAGGCAAGAGTACTGGAGTGGGTTGTCATTGCAAGGAAGCCCCTTACCCCTGCCCCAGTTCTCACTAGGGCAGTGGATCTCGAAGTGTGTTTCCTGGACCGTCAGCATGGAACTTGTTAGACATGCATTTTCTCTGGCTACATCCCACAGTTCAGGATGAGAGAAAATCTGAGTTGGGACCCAGCAATCTATTTAACAGCTTTCCAGGATATTCTGATACTCCTTATGTCTGAGAACCATATTCTTTAGGATTGAATGGTTATCAGACCTGAGCGGTCTGGCTGTCCAGACAGGGCACCTTTCTTTTTTGTTTTTAAACTCATGTATGCAGAGTGCATCATGAGAAATGCTGGGCTGGAAGAAGCACAAGCTGTAATCAAAATTGCTGGGAGAAATATCAATAACCTCAGATATGCAGATGACACCACCCTTATGGCAGAAAGTGAAGATGAACTAAAAAGCCTCTTGATGAAAGTGAAAGAGGAGAGTGAAAAAATTTGGCTTAAAGCTTAACATTCAGAAAACTAAGATCATGGCATCTGGTCCCATCACTTCATGGGAAATAGATGGGGAGACAGTGGAAACAGTGTCAGACTTTATTTTTTTGGGCTCCAAAATCACTGCAGATGGTGATTGCAGCCATGAAATTAAAAGATGCTTACTCCTTGGAAGGAAAGTTATGACCAACCTAGATAGCATATTAAAAAGCAGAGACATTACTTTGCCAACAAAGGTACATCTGGTCAAGGCTATGGTTTTTCCAGTGGTCATGTATGGATATGAGAGTTGGACTGTGAAGAAAGCTGAGTGCTGAAAAATTGATGCTTTTGAACTATGGTGTTGGAGAAGACTTTTGAGAGTCCCTTGGACTGCAAGGAGATCCAACCAGTCCATCCTGAAGGAGATCAGTCCTGGGTGTTCATTGGAAGGACTGATGCTGAAGCTGAAACTCCAGTACTTTGGCCACCTCATGTGAAGAGTTGACTCATTGGAAAAGACCCTGATGCTGGGAGGGATTGGGGGCAGGAGGAGAAGGGGACAACAGAGGATGAGATGGTTGGATGGCATCACCGACTCAATGGACATGAGTTTGAGTAAACTCCGGGAGTTGGTGATGGACAGGGAGGCCTGGTGTGCTGCGGTTCATGGGGTCGCAAAGAGTCGGACACGACTGAGCGACTGAACTGAACTGATGCTGTTTTTGAGGAGAAGGCAATGGCACCCTACTCCAGTACTCTTGCCTGGAAAATCCCATGGACGGAGGGGCCTGGTACGCTGCAGTCCATGGGGTCGCTAACAGTTGGACACGACTCAGCGACTTCACTTTCACTTTTCACTTTCCTGCATTGGAGAAGGAAACGGCAACCCACTCCAGTGTTCTTGCCTGGAGAATCCCAGGGACGGGGGAGCCTGGTGGGCTGCCCTCTATGAGGTCGCACAGAGTCGGACACGACTGAAGCGACTTAGCAGCAGCAGCATGTTGTTCTTGATGGATCATTTAAGCGCTTTGTTGTTGTTGTTTGATAGCTAGACTGCTGTGCAATTCCCTCCTTCAGGCCAACTTTAAAACTTCATCAGGCAATAGGTACGAACGCGGCCCCACCCCCACCCTATTCTCCAGCGTAGGCAACCCCTATGTGATGTCACGGTTGCCTCAACGTCATAACCACGCCCCTGAATACGTCATAGTGTCCTGGGCATTCTAGGCACGTGGTGCCGCTGGACGACCCTGGAAAGTGCGAAGCGAGGGGTGCACTCTGAGCCGGAATGGGCGACTGGAAAGGTTACATCAGTGCAGTGCTTCGGGACCAGCGCATCGACGACGTAGCCATCGTGGGCCACTCGGACAATCGCTGCGTGTGGGCCTCGAGGCCTGGGGGCCTGCTGGCAGCCATCTCACCGCAGGAGGTGGGTGTGCTCACTGGGCCAGACCGGAGCACCTTCCTGCAGGCGGGGCTGTGCATGGCGGGCCGCCGTTGCTGCGTCATCCGAGACCACCTGCTGGCCGAGGGCGACGGAGTGCTGGACGCGCGCACCAAGGGTCTGGACGGGCGCGCCATCTGCGTGGGCCACACGCCTCGGGCGCTGCTCGTGCTCATGGGCCGGCGGGGCGTGCACGGGGGCATTCTCAACAAGACGATGCACGAGCTGATCCATGGGCTGCGCTCGCGGGGCACCTAGCAGGACAGCCGGCCAATCCAGAATAAAGTCTGACCTGGGCGTGGCAGATCACACTCCAGTTGTGAGGGGGAGTAGGGGGAATTGCTGATGAGGAAGGTACTTTACTAGATCCTTGCAGAAGGTGTCTGATGAGGTTGGTATTATGAGTCCAGAGGCTTCCCAGCCTGCTAGGCTCTATCTCAGGACCTCCCATGGGTGCCCTGCCTCTGGACAACTCCTTAGGCCAGAGTCTGAAGGCCTTGGTGCCTCCCCAGGTTTCCTGGGGACACTCAAGCTAAGGAGGGGGTAGCCTCCTCAAACGCTCCAACTCAGACCTGAGTATCCTTTCCCATAAAACTTCTACAAGTCTGTGTGGGACAGACTCTAAAGGAAGTCCCCTCCCCACCCTCCAACACCACTCCCTAAGCTGGGGCCAGTGTAATTCTCACCTCCACCTAGCAAGAAGAAGCACTAGCAAGGACTGTGGGTGGGTAACATGATGGGGTTGGTAGCTTGGAGAACAGCTCTGGGACTTCCAGGCCCTTGCATCCCCCCACAACACTTCAAAGGGGGTGGATGTGGGGATGGGGAGGCAAGTGTTGTAAACCATCACAACTAGATACCGGGCCCCACAGTCTTCTGCCACTTTGGGGTCCAAAGGCCCCAGAGATGTCCCTGGACTAGAGGGAGGAGCTTTGGCATTGCCCGCCCTTTGCCTCTCCTTCTGCAGACCTCTGCTCAGGGGGCCCTATGGGGGAGGAGGAATTGAAAAAGTTGGGTGGGCGTAAATGAAGCCTGGTTTACCACCCAAAGGCAGAGTATAAAGATGGGAGGGAAAGTGGCTGGTCTCTGCCCGCTGCGCACTGGGGCCCAGGGCATGGCTTCTCTTGCCCATCTCCACCCTCCCTCTCCTTCCTCCAGTAGCCCTGATGGGCCCCCACCTGTCACTGGGTTTCTGGAGAACTGATTTTATCCCAGAGTAGGGGAAGGAGACAGGTAGAGAGCAGAGGTCAGCCTGCTGGGTATAGAGGTGCACGGAGCCCTCCTTCCACTTCACTTAAGGTAGCCCTCACGGGGGCTTCCAGGGAGTTTGAATTGTGGATTGGATTCATTAGGCAGGGTCAAGAGGATTGTTGGGGAGAACTTGTTGGCTGGCTTTTCCAGGGCACAGCAGGCTCTCTTTGGGAGCGGAGACAGTACTGCTGAGCCCGAAACCATGATCTGTTCCTCCCCTCCAGATGGAGAGCAAGCAGATTTCCAAGTGCACAATGAGAGTTTCATTTCTTTCTTTTCTTTTTAATGAGGCAGTGTTAGGAAGGGGCTTGTAGTGGAGATGCAGGAACCCTGGGTGAGGATGAGGAGAATGGTATGGAGGAAGGAAGGTGGCAGGGAGGGGGTGAGAATTCAGGCAGTGACTCAGGCACCCACATCTATGCCCCAGCAAACAGCTGTAGGTCACATACAAGGACTCACCCTTACTCCCACCCAGCCCAGTCAGAGTTGCGTGTACACAGGGACACAAGTTCAGGCTTCCAAATACATATGCAAAGGACTCACAATCATACCCAGATACCTTGCAGTTGGCATGCGGCCCCCACATGTGCACATACACACTCTCAGCCGCACCAGCTGAGACCTCCCAGGACCTATACAAGCACTGGCGCATGCCCAGACGCACCCCTCTGCCCTTGCACCCTGGGCATCTCAGACACAGGCCCCTTCTGGCTCCAGGCAGCCATCTGGGCTGGAGCCTAGAGACGGGTGGCATTGTGGTGATGGGGCATGGCAAGGCGGGGGGAGGGTGTGGCAGGGGGCAGTTCCTCCAGGAAGACCCTGGCGGGTAGTGGGGGTGAGCGGGGCTCGGGCCTGGCGCAGCACAGGGTGGCGCGGGTGATGAGGCGGTCCAGGGGCTTCAGGGAGTGCATCCATGGGGGCAGGAAGTCCCAAGTCTGCAGCCACTTGGGCAGGCACCCCGGGCTGCGACTCTGCAGCGCGCTGACAAGCACCACGAAGGCCAGCAGGGCCCCGAAGGGTGCGCCCACACCTACCATTGCCCGCCAGCCTGCCATGGAGAGCCCAAACACCATCGAGGGCAGCAGCAGGAAGCACAGGAGGAGGTAGAGGACGGCGAACCAGCGATACTTGGCTGTGCGTTTGCCCAAAGCCTTGGCCATGCGGATAGGCAGGCGCGTGCAGGGCACGGGGTACCACAGCAGGATGCCAGAGATGTTGAAGAAGAAGTGGCAGAGGGCAATCTGCAGGGGAGAGGGCAGAGGGGTGGAGGCGGGCACGGGCCCTAGCTCCCGAGTCAGGATTAGATGACAGGGGACCGCCAGCTCTGGGCAGCAGGAAAGTCAGCACTCAGGGCTAGCATGCCCCCAGTGAAACACTGGTACACTTCCGGACCAGTGGGTACATAACTGCTGCCCTAAACCCTCCACATTTCCCCCCACTAACCCTCAGGAGTTCCCCAGCAGATCCCATCCAGATCCAGGAGCTGAAAGATTCATACTGATTTCTGGTTCAGAAGCTCTGGCCTCCTGAGTGAGCAGCATCCTGGCTTATCCATTACTCCTTTGCTCCTAGAAGAGCAGCCTCTTTGCTGTCTGCTCCTCAGTCCTTGATCCCCCAGATGGAGCCAGGCCCCCTCTTAACAGCACCCCTTCCTTAGAAGGTGAATCCCGCTGACTCTTGTTCATTGATTGGCATGTGTGCGCGTGCACACACACAGTCGCGTCTGACTCTGTGTTCTCAGTAATGTCTCCCTTGTTAGACTCTAAGGTCTTGACGGTGGCATGAGGTATACTTTGCCCATATGATTTCCATAGAGTCTGGCACAGCAGGTGCCCCCTGGCAGGCAGTCAAAAACTGTTTGGTACACACTGTCTACATTGGGTCAGGCTTCCGGTGCAAGTCCTAGCCCTGTCCTCCCTCTGGCAGGGCTCCTCTCCCAAGCTCACCTGGAAAGCGCTGGATAGCTTCTCCCGGGGGCTGGCCAGGGCAGCCAGTATGGCCGTGGTGGTGGTACCGATGTTGGAGCCCAGGGTGAGCGGGTAGGCGCGCTCAATGCTGATCACACCGAGGCCTGGGGGCAGAGGAGAGGACACGGGCTCCGCAGCACCCTCCTTTAGCCTTTCCCTGCCGGCCCCACCCCACCTGACCCTGCCTCCGTGTGAGGACTCACCGATGAGTGGGGTGATGGCTGAGGTGAACACAGAGCTGCTCTGGACGACAAAGGTCATGCTGGCCCCTACCACCATGGCAAAGTAGCCTGTGGCCCAGGTGAAGGGGCTGGGAAAGTCTGCAAGGAAACCGTCAGAGTAGGATCAGTGGGAGGGGATTGAGAGGGGCGGGGACATTTCTTGGGGAGGAGGTCTCCGATGCCAGCTTCCAAGTGGCACCTTCTCAGTCTCCTGGTCAACTGTGGCAGCTTCTCCTGGTCCTCCTCGATCTTGGATTAAAGACCCTTCTTAGCCTGCTTCCATCATACTTTTGCTCCCTTGTTCCTTCTGCCTGGGATAGCTTCCTCACGCCTAAATATTCATGCTCAGGACTCAGCGTGGGTATCACTGCCACTGGAGAGCCCTCCCTGACCCCAGCTCCCAGGCAGACTTTGCTTCTCCTTCCTCGGAACTCCCACAGATCCACAAATGCCCCTATTTCAGCACTTGTCATACGGCCTCTGCTCATGCCAGGTGGGGTCCCCAAAGCTCAGCATGAGGCCTAAGTGAAAGTCAGATAGTGTCACTGCCCAAACCCCCAAGTGCCCCCATCGCCCTGGATCAAGTCCAGGCTCTAAGTGCAGCCTGCAGGGCCCTGTTACCTTGCTGACCTCTTCCTGCCTCTGTACACCTCACTCACCGAGCTCCCACCGCAGGGCTGGCCACCTATCTGTGCCACAAGCCTGCCCAGCCAAGTCCTGCCTCAGAGCCTTTGCATGTACTGCTCCCTCCACTCAAAAAGCTCTTCGGCCACGTCTGACTGCTTCATATTTAGGTCCCTGCTCAAATGTCACCTCTGCGCAGAAGCCACTGACCCCCAATCAAAAGCAACTCGTCCATACTCTATTTGCTGTTTTTGCTTTCTGTTTGGCAGTTACTGTTCTCTTTCATCTGAATTTATCCCCCCTCGATCATTTTTTTTGGGGGGGCTGTCTTCCTGTGTGTGCTGTGAGCCCCCTGAGGGCATGAGGCAGCTCTGTGAGGCTCACCTCTGTACCCCTCACACCACTCTCTGCCTGGCACACAGAGGGGACTTGATGACTATTTGTTAATTGAATCAAACAATGGCCTCTGGGAACCCCTTTGGAGTCACCTGCTAAAACGGAAGCAGCCACAGATTCCCAGCTTGTCAGCATCTCAGGGACCTCATATATCACCCGGTCCAACCGCTTCTTTGTTCACATGGGGAAACTGAGGCTCAAAGATGGTAGGGCTTTACCCAGATCACACAGTACGGCAATGGAAGGATTAACAAGGTCCAGAAGCCCGTCCTGGGGCCTGCCCACCCACTGCTCGGGGCTCACCAGTGTTGATAACCTTCTGAATGACCTTGGCCACCTGGCCCTTGAGCAGAGAGTTGAGCATCTTGACAAGGAGGATGAGACAGGTGCACAGGAGGGCCAGGGAGCCAGCCAGCAGGATGAGCCCCACAGCCAGGTCAGGCAGCCCCGTGTCCACAAAGATGTGGTTGCCTGTGGGGTGGGGGAGTGGTATCATCTGCTGCCCCCTCAGTCCGGCTCCCAGCCCCCAACCTTTGCCACCCTCTTGGACTCAGAGCCTCCTGTTCCTTCAACCTCTACGTGAGAGCCTGACCCCAGCCCAGGAGCTAGGCTGGCCAACAGCTGTCCTTCTGGGCTGGAAGCAGCAGTGGCCAGGTGGAAGACGGCCCTGCCTCTGCCAGGCTCTTCCCTGCTGGGCTGGATAGCTCTCATACTGGGGGTACTCACACTTCTCCAGGGTGGCATTTCTGACCATCCAGCTGGTGTTGGCCTCTGCCCTGGGCATAGGAGTGGGAACCTAGATTAAGACGAGAGGTCAGTTCAGTTCAGTTGCTCCGTTGTATCTGACTCTTTGCGACCCCATGGACTGCAGCACGCCAGGCTTCCCTGTCCATCACCGACTCCCAGAGCTTGCTCAAATTCCTGTCCATCGAGTTGGTGATGCCATCCAATCATCTCATTCTCTGTCGTCCCCTTCTCCTCCTGCCTTCAATCTTTCCCAGCATCAGAGTCTTTTCTAATGAATCAGTTCTTCGAATCAGGTGGCCAAAATATTGGAGCTTCAGCTTCTGCATCAGTCCTTCCAATGAATATTCAGGACTGATTTCCTTTAGGATTGACTAGTTTGATCTCCTTGCAGCCCAAGGGACTCTCAAGAATCTTCTCCAATACCTCAGTTCAATAGCATCAATTCTTCGGCACTCAGTTTTCTTTATGGCCCAACTCTCGATTCAGACATGACTACTGGAAAAACTGTAACTTTGACTAGATGGACCTTTGTCAGCAAACTAATGTCCCTGCTTTTTAATATGCTGTCAAGGTTGGTCATAGCTTTTCTTCCAAGGAGCAAGCATCTTAATTTCATGGCTGAGATTGACATAACAAGTTTAGGAACGTGCATTCTGCGACTGGGACTAAAATGGGGGTTAGGGAGAGATGGGGGATGGAGAGGATACAGGTGGTCCTTGTGACTACCTGCCCCTGGATTCTTTGCCTGCCCTCTGCTTCCTCTAGTGATGAAATGGGGGTGAAACATCTGCCACAGGAGAATCTGGCTGCAGTTGGCCCTCAGAATACTCTACTCCATCAGCTCACTGATCTGGCTCTCACCGGGGCCTGCAGGGGCCTCCTGATCAGAGGGCGTCTTGTCCATATTTCTCCCACCTCTCCTGGGCCCTGGATGCTGCTGACCATGGCCCACTTTTTCTGAAAACTCTCCCTTTCCCATCGTTTATTATCAATCCCTGCCTCAGTGCGCCCCTCTTCCCTGGTACCCTTGCTCCATCCTCTCCCCTCAGGCATCTTGCCCAAGTTCTGGAGTTTTCCTCAATTCCTTGTCCAGAGAGGATGGAGCAGAGGGCCCAGGCCCCATATTTCTTCCCTCCCCCACTAATGTAATGTCAGTGAAGAGGAGAGGGTTCCTGGGGAGGTTTCTTTACTCAGAGGGCCCAGGGCCATGCGGGTAGCCTAGACGAGGGGCTCAGGCTGTGTGGAGGTGTTGGGAAACATGTTGGGCCTAAAGGGTCCGCTGAGCTCCAGGCCACTGTCACCGTCCAGAGATGTAGCCCAGCTCAGCCAAAGGGCCTGCTTTTACAAGAGAAACCACAACTCTAAACATGTAGATAAAATCTCCCAATCTGTAAATGTTGGCAACCACTTCAAGATGTACTTTACAATTCTGTGAAGGCCAGTCTGGCCTGGGGACCACTCCTTTGTAGCCTTCTTGAGTTGGGATTTTTTTTTTCCTGGCACAGCTTGTAGGATCTTAGTTCCCTGACTAGGGATCGAACCCAGGCCCTCGGCAGTGAAAGTGTGGAGTCCTAGTCCCTGGACTGCCAGGGAATTCCCCAAGGAGTCCTTTTTTAAAAATGCAACCTAAGGCTCCTTACCTTTCCCCCAGGATGCTGTCAGTGAAAGGAGAAAGTGGGCCAGGCTTGGCTTCAGAAAAGCCATGTCACGAAGGACAACTTGGGTCCTGGAAAGGGGTAGTGACTCCTTGGGCCCCCAGCAAAATGCAAGAACCACAGCGTCTGTCACCACATTCTGCCACCTGTGGGAGCTGATATAGACCCTGGTCCCATTCTCCCTAGGGGGTCAGCAGCTCACACCCCTCTGACCTCCCTGGGTGCTGGGGGGAGGGGCTCAAGTGGGGTATGGCACTTGGGTTTACAGCTCTTTTATGTTTTATTTTAAACTGTGTCATTTAAAGATGTTAGAGATGGGTTTCTCTGGTGGCTCAGAAGATAAAGAACCTGCCTGCAATGTGGGACACCAGGGTTCAATCCCTGGGTTGGAAAGATCCCCTAGAGAAGGAATTGGCAACCCACTCTGGTATTCTTGTCTGGAGAATTCCATGAACAGAAGAGCCTGGTGGGCTAGAGTCCACGCGGTTTGCAAAGAGTCAGAGTGACTGACTGAGTGACTAACACACACTTGTTAGAGATAAGAACTATTTATGGCACATGACTTTAAGTCGGGGCTTATTTTAGTGCATGTACTCCCTTGAGTGGAGCAGCACACTCATTTGTGTACCCATACCTGAGCCCTGGAGCACCTTCAAGCCTCAGCCATAATCACAGGCTGAGAAATCAGAGAAAATGGTCTCTGATGGGCTTGATTGCAAAAGCTGGCTGGAAAGCAATGGTAACTGGGAGGGAGCCAGGTGTTTGCCATCAGGCAGATCTGAGTTCAGTCCTGCTTTTAATCCCAACTACCTTGCGCAGGTCATGTCACCTCACTGAGCCTGTTTTCTCTGAAGCGGGATAAGAAAAGAGCTGTGCTCAAACCCCAGCTGAGCACTCCCTGCTGTGTGACGCTGGACCAAACATGAAACCTCTCTGAGCCTCCATTTCCTTGCCTGCAGCGTGCAGTCCATAATGTAGCCCACTTCTCCCCAGGGGCTATTTGTGAGAAGCCTGGAAAAAGAAATTGTGGAATTTATGTGCCTGAAGAGACAACCCAAACTAAGGAGACCTCTGGCAACTGAAAATGTGAAAGCGTTAGCTGCTCAGTCATGTCTAACTCTTTGTGAGCTCATGGACTGTAGCCCTCCAGGCCCCTCTGTCCATGGGATTCTCCAGGCAAGAATACTGGAATGGGTTGCCATTTCCTTCTCCAGAGGATCTTCCCAACCCAGGGATTGAACCCAGGTCTCCTGCATTGCAGGCAGACTCTTTGCCATCTGAGCCACCAGATTAAGCTCACAGAGGGATGTGAGCTCCAAGAATTCTCCCCCACCACCCTGGCAGGATGTGGGGCGGGGAAATAGCGCAGTGTTCAGGCCAGTACTGCAGCCTCTCCTCCAGGAGAAGGGGTGTTCTAGGGTCTTTGTTTTTCTGGAAGCAGAGCGCGAGTGCTGTGCTAGTGGCGCCATCTGGTGGCGAAGAGGAGAATTCACTTTTGCAGCCCTACCTATCACCCGGAGGGTCTCCAAGTGGCTGTGGTCACCTGGTGGCATTCATGCCTGATAGGCAGAGTGGGCAATGGACACATAAGGTGGGACATACATCTGGAAGAGAAGTCGAAATGGAGAGTCAGGAGTGTGGGGTGTAGTTTCCGCCAGGACTTTGGTCCCCCCTCAGTTGCACAGACTTGGACAAACCTGTCTGAGCCTGTTTAAAATGGAGTTGTAAGGGACTTCCCTGTTGGTCCAGTGGTTAAGAATCTGCCTGCCAAGGCACGGGACACAGGTTGGGTCCCTGGTCCTGGAACTAAGATCCCACATGCCGCAGAGTAACTAAGCTTCTGCATCACAACTACTGAGCCATCGAGCTACAACTATTGAAGCCCGGCGCACCCAGAGCCCGTGCCCTGCAACAAGAGAAGCCACCACAGTTAAGAAACCCACACACCACAACTAAAGCGTAGCCCCCGCTCACCGCAACTAGAGCGCCCATGTGCAGCAGCGAAGACCCACCGCAGCCAAAAAGTAAGTAAACTTTTTAAAATGGGGTTGTGATAATCCCTGCCTCCCAGGTTGCAAGTCTTTGGAAGAAGCTTCTTTCATCCATGCATGTAGGGTTGACAATCCACAGGGTGACCACACAAGAAGGTAATTCCCAGGACAGTGTCAGGACCCCCTGAGCATCAAGAGTTGTTGGAATACCAATACCACCTCTGGCTTTTTCTTTCACCATCTGGAAAATTCCAGACTGCCAATCAGATAGGTGCCCTGGAGGCTGGCTCAGGCAAGGTTGGGCCTGGCTTGGTAAAAACTGGAGGCAGTGAGAACAGGTCAGAAGGGGCCACAGGGAGACTCAGTGGCCAAAGGAAAAATGTGCAGGAGGGCACATGATTGTGAGCCACTTTCCTGAGGGGACTCAGAGAGAGGGCCAGAACCGGGAGCTTACCTCCCACCCCCTGCTACTCTCCAGGCCAAGGAAATTGTATCTGGACCCTGCTGTCAAGGAAAGGTTTCCCCAGGAGGGCTGGGATGAGAAACCAGTGAGCAGGCGAGTGGTAGCAGGAGCCATAGAGGAACATGTGAAGACAGGGAACAGGGCAGCTTGCTTCTGGTCGCTGGACCTCAGGTTCCAGGGGGATCATGTCCGCCTCACCAGCATCACTGAGGGTTCCATCAGGTTAGGGCCCCATTTGCATCCTGCAAAGGGAGACTGGCTGAATGCAGCTGCAGGCAGGCGGTGGGGATTTCAGTAAGCGAGGATCACCACAGCTGAGGAACTCCTTTCCACAGCTCGCTTTTTGATCAAAGTGTGTGACTCTGGTCTTTCAGGGTTTGCAGTGAAGCAGAGGGGATTTTAGTGATTCAGAGCTCTCGGAGAGTGCCCAGAGTGCTTGTGAGAAGGAGAGACGTGTTAGTGGGGTCATAAAGCCACTGTAAAAGCTGTCCACATGCGCTTTTTGATCTCGAACTGCCTGAACGCTCAGCACTGAGTTGGAGCTGTGTGCCACTCAGATGCAAAGGAAGCTTGCAGGGCCGGTTGAAAGAATGTTCTCTGTTCACGCTGGGATAAAGTCCGGGAACATCAAGTAGGGAGGAAAGATGCTGTGCTGTTTCCTCGTCTTTTGTTCTCAATGGTGTTACTTCTTGTATGTCACAATCAAGGGGAAGTAGATACTGTGGATTATGATTTTGATGAAGCATTTTCCTTTTTTGATGGCTGAATGAGAAAGTGCGGTAATTGCCTGCTTCCGTGTTAGCCTGGTATGATGGCTGGTCAATGAGTGTCCACCTGATCCAAACGGAGCCTCTTCCCAGGCGTGAGAAGCCAGGAAACAGCAGGAAGAACACACAGGACAAGGGGACACAGGCCTTTGGCAGTCTCCAGCAGAAGGAACCCGGTATCAGTACAAGTGGCTGTGTGTCTCCAGTGAGGTCTCCATGGCCTGCTTGTCCTGCTCCTGGGCTGGTTCCCTGTTGGTCTTGGTTTTCTCAGGCATCCTTGTAGCACTCTCTCCCTGCCCTTCTCTGCACATTAGCTGGGCCCCCAAACACGGCAGAGCTGTCACGAAGCAACTCCCTAGATCCCAATGGGGAGAGATAGCCCTAGACTGCAAGACCCACACTCAGGGCCCTGAAGCAGTAAAATAAGCTCTAAAGCGTTTTTTAGCCTCTTGGAGCCTATTTCTTTACCTGTGGAACCACAGAGTTGAGCCAGATCAGTGGTTCTTCAACTAGTGGGCTTGTTGAAATGTAGACTGCTGGGCACCACCTGATTTTTATTTTTTTCTAATTTAGTGAGTCTAGGAAAGGGCCAGATACTTTGTCTCTAGTGGGTTCCCAGGTGATAGGTGTGCCATTGGCCCACATTTTGAGAACTGATATCTGGGCTGATTCAATGACATGCTAACTCTAATTGATTAGCAATGGCCGCCTAAAGCTGGTGTGAGGCGGCGAGGGTGTAGCAATATCCGCCACAAGGTGCAATATCACAGCAAAAGTGCCCCCTGCCTGTCCTCCCAAGCTAAAGGATTGCCAAGGTCTCTACAGAGCTTTTAAACAGACCATGACTCTAGCAGTCAGCTGTCTGAAGAGGGAGTCTTCTCACCGAGGCTGGACCCAGTACTCACCTCTGTGGGATCTGGGTAACACCAGACACGGATGAGGCTGTGATTTCTCAGGGACTCGTCCCCGGAGGCAAGGCTGGTAATCACAGACTTGTCCAGCTGTGGGCAGTGTGGGCGGTGGGTGTGAGGGTGTGGTCCTACAATCCCCCGGGCCCCCACCTCACACCCGCCCTGCTGCTACCTGGATGATGAGCTTAGTGAAGGGCTCTGTGATGATCTTGAGCAGGTCAGGGGCATCGCGGCCGCCGCGAATGTTGAAGGAGGCCACCACAAGTCGAGTGATGTGGTGCAGGTACCCCGTGGCAGCCTCCAGGGGCAGCAGCACCAGAACTGACAACCAGTTAAAGCAGTCGTGTATGGTGGCCCCCGCGAAAGCCCTGGGCAGGGAGGCCACATTGCAGGGCAGGCTGGAGCCAGGAGACGCTCAGACTAGGGGCTCCTGGCATGGGGGACCACCCTCCCCCAACAAGGACAGGCCCCTCACCGCTCCCCCCTCACCGCCGGAAGTCAGTTCTGTCCCCTGCCTGCATCAGGGCCACGATGGTGTTGGTGACGGAGGTGCCGATGTTGGAGCCCATGATGATGGGGATGGCAGAGCTCACCTCCAGCACTGGTAGAAGAAGGCAGAAACTGGGAGGGGCGGCCACCCAACTCCTGCCCCTACAGTTCCTCCTGTCAGACCCGTTGCCCACATCCCCGCCCCAGCAGGCATTCTTGCCACGCTGCTGACTCTACTCAGCCTTGGCATCACAGGTACGAGGGGCATGTGCTATGTGCATGCATGTAAACTGACGTTCACATATGCGTACTGCCGCTGCAAATATGTGAATGTGTGTGTGGGTATGTGTCAATGAGGACATGGGTCCTATATGCAATTGTGCCTCTGTGCTTGTGTGTGCACATATGTACACGAGTGTGATGTCAGTTTCATGTATCAGCTTGTCTAGTACCCAGTTACTCAATGGAACTCTGATCTAGATGTTGCTGTGATTTCCCTCAACCATCAGTTGACTTTAAGGAAATGAGATTAACCCCAGTAATCTGGGTAGGCCTCATCCAGTGAGATGAAAGGCCCCAAGAGCAAAACTGAGGCTTCCCCGAGAGGAAATTCCACCTGTGCCCTGCAGTATCGGCTTTTGCCTATGAGTTCTGGCCTGCCTTTCCCCGTGGCCTGCCCAGCCTGCCTCACAATCACGATAGTCAGTTCCTGGCGATAAATCATAGATGTCTCTATACCTCCTGCAGGCTCTGTTTCTCTGATTCCTCTGGTTCTGTCCCCTCAACTGATGGAATGAGTGACTGTGTGGCGACGTGGAGGTGAGCCTTCCTGGGCCTGTACTCCCTACTTGCCACCCTTCCCGGCTCCTGGGCACCCCACCTGGCTGAGACTCGAGGCCACGCTTTGGAGAATAGAGTGGGAGACGCCAGAGCTGCCCATTGTCCTCTGCCCCTGTCTCCTGCTCTTCCCACCCAGAGCCCCAGGTCCAGCATCGAACCACCCCCACCCCCCGCACTCTCCCTGACCCTGGTGGGCCAACTCACAGCCAGAGGAAACCATGCTGACCACAATGGACGTGGAGGTGCTGGAGCTCTGTACCAGCACAGTCACCAGGATCCCCACCACCAGGCCCGCCACCGGGTTGGACAGGATGGCGTTGTCCTTGAAGATGTCGCCAGCCACCTTCCCTGGGGAACATAAGCCAGCATTGTCCGAGACGCTTCGGGCCCCTTCCCTGGCCCCCTCCCTTCTGCCCTACCTCCAGCCAGCTGGAAAGCCGAGCTGAGCACATCCAGGGAGCAGACGAAGAGATAGAGGAAGGAAAGCATCAGCGGAACCTTGAGGAGTGTCACGCCAGCCCGGCGCAGTTTCTGGACCAGTCCAGGTTCTGGAGATGGGTGGTCGTGAGCACAGGGGCTAGAGTGTTCTGCCAATGACCGCCAACACCCCTGCCACCCCAACCCAGGCCCACCTGGCTTCCGCTCATCCTCCAGGGCCAGCTTGGCAGGCAGTGGGTCGTGGCGCTCCACAACCTCCCCGTAGGGGCAGCCACGCTCTGGGAGGGCCACGGGGCCCATGCTGGGGAAGCCGTAGGCTGAGGTCCCTGGAATCCTGTGCAAGACTGGGGGACGGGACTGATCAGGGTCTCCCTGGGGCCCCATTTCCCAGGGAGGGTTGGAGGGGTTGGGCCTAGGGCTAGAGGCCTCCCTCCAGGGTGGGGACGCACGCAACAGAGGGCAAACAGGGTCCAGGGGTGGGAGTAGCACTCACCCTGTGGGCTGGGCACATAGGCAAAGGCCGCTCCATGCATCATGTGCCCCCCACGAACTGGGAGTGGGGAGACAGCCCGGCCCCCCAGCTTCTCTCCGTAGGACATCATCTCAGGTGCACGCTGTGGGCCTGTGTGTCAGAAGTATAGCAACACTGAGTGATGACTGCTGAGTCCCGGAAACTGACACACACTCACACACTCATCCCCCTACATCCGCACCCATACACCCGCTTGCACAAACGCCCATGGTGTGTGATCCCGAACACACCCCCAGCGAAGCACACCCTCCACCACCACACACACCCAAAGAGGCACATGGGTGCTCAGCACAGATTTGGGGATTCATTCATTCAGCAAGTATTTATTGAGCATCTACTCTTTCTCAGGCACTGGGCTCGATGCTGGAGTTCAGCTAGCTAAATACAGATACAGCTTCTGCCCCCAGGAAGCTCAAAGTCTAGCAGAAAAACATATGTCAATGAAATAATCCCTCAGATCAATGGAACGTGGCAACAGGAACAAGCATTCTCATGACAGAGGAAGGTACCACCAGAGGTGTCCCAGAGGTAGAGGGGTTCACCCTCACAAGTGTACCTCTTTCCCTATCCATCCCTACCCTCCCCCGCCCCGCCCCAGCAATAAACAAACACTGATGGGACTTTCTGCCATGTATGAGGCTCAAACCAGGATTGTTTTAGTTAAGGAGGGTCCCCACCCTGACCCCACGTCTGGGAAGTCTCCAATTTGCTTTAGGACCCCTGGAACTGCCCCAGGAGTTCTCGGCGGCTGTTGGGGTGGGAGTACCCCCGTCTACTTCAGCACCCCCACCCTCCACCCCCAACCTTATTCCAAGGGTCCTGACTGTTGGGGTTGGGGACCGTGCAGAGCTGAATTCCAAGCCCTCGAAGAGCATGAGTCCATTCTACAGACTCTGAGGCAGTGAGCCAGGCTGGGCTGGGACTGAGATGTTACAGGGGATGGGAATGGGAGCACAGTAAGGACAGAGGTGAGGGGCCCATTTTCTGCTAAGATGGGGATGGGATTGGGATGTGGGGACTCTGGACTCACCTTGGTGTTCTGTGTTTCAGCTCCTGCCCAGCAGCTCAGGGAAGCCCTAGGAGCCGGAGGAGAAGGTGGGACCTTCTCTTTATACCTTTGGGTCAAGGGCAAAGTCCCTAGAATCCTAGCTTCCCTCCCTCTGTTCCCCAATTAACTTCATCCCGGAGATTCCTCCTGGTTAATTGCTAATCGTCAGCTCTGCAGGGGGAGTCTGTGAATAGGCTCTTTCCTCTCCCACACAGATACCCAGCCTGAACTGTGACTTAACCACCAAGGAGGGCACAAATGATCCCGTGTCCCTAGGCAGAGACCCTGATGCCACTCAGGCACCTCATTCCCAGAGTCCCCAGAGATGCCATGGCTCTGGCCTCTTTCCCTCATTCTTGGCCTGACAGTACTCCCCAGGAGGTAACCCAAACACACTTTATACTTGCTTTGCCTCTGGGTGTCCTTAGGGACATTTGAAGGAGAGAGACTGTGTGATGGAGGAAACAACAGAAGACAAACTCCAAGGGGCTGTGTAGTGCTCAATCGTGGGGGGTCCATGACCCCAGATCTGAGATATGACCCAAGAGAATGAAGCCACTACCTGGATGGGGCGGGGCTGGTCTGTATTTTAGAATGGTCCTGGGTGTGGGAGGGTTGGCATGAGGCAAGGGGAGTGAGTCTGGAAGCAGAGAGACCAGGTAAGAGGGTGATAAGATGGTTCAGGTGAGAGAGGATGAGGTCCAAATCTAACTGGGAAGAAAAGGAACAGAGAGGAGAATGTGCGCTCCTGGGATGCTTTTTATTGAAATTTGAAATTGTTAGGCCCTAGTTGTATTCTTTGCAACCCCATGGAATATACAGTCCATGGAATCTCCAGGCAAGAATACAGAAGTGGGTAGTCATTCCATTCTCCAGGGGATCATTCCTGACCCAGGGATCAAACTCAGGTCTCCCGCATTGCAGGCGGATTCTTTATTGTCTGCCCAAGCAGTTGTTACGTTTGGGCAGAACAACTGGTGTTGGGGAGGTGGGTGGGAGGGGAGGTATATCACAGCTGGGTTTCTGGATCAAGAAGCTGATGATGACCTGAGGTCTCTTGAGGAGTCCCTGAAATGCAAGGAGTCTGAAAGTTTCTTTCCCTTTTATAGGACCTTGAAGCCTGAGTTGGGGGCCCATATTCATATAGGGACATGTGATTCCCTTCTAAGGGATTTAGATTTTATCAGATCCAGGACTGGTGAATTCCATTCAAGATCTAGTTTGGGCAACTGTCTGAGCAACCTAACTTCCACCCAGTCAGCTACGTGTCTATCCATTCATTTCTAAGAACAGTAGTTGAGTTCTTATTCCATGCTGAGCCAAGAGCTAGCTTCTCTCTTGATCCAAGAAACAGTCCATTCCCTGAGTGGTCCTGGGATCCTAAGTCCTCACCTCTCTGAGCCCTAGTTTCTTCACTTATAAAATGGCCATGAGTATGGATTTGTCTGGGAGCCGTAGGACTCAATGAGCTAAATGACCCGTCTCAGTGCCTAGAACAAAGAACCTCAGCATGTTTGTTCTCTTCATGCTTTCATGCCCTTTTCACCGTTTCTAGGATGGTTGAAGTGTCCCTGCCAAAAAAATGGCCCCAACTTCTCTAGATTCTCCGCCCTGTTTCAGGTCAACAGCTCTTGGCTCAATAGCCCTCTGATTGCTCAATATCTTACACATCTTAGGGTGACACTGACCCAGCGTTTTCCTTCAAGGAGGATGGACATTTTTGTCCACTTCCCTCTTTAATATTAGTGCTTAATTTGCAGAGCGCTGTGGAATTATCCACTGCATAGAGTTCACAATAGACTATTGAAGTGCCTAAGAGCGAGGAAACAGGCCAACCTGCGTTTGGATCCTAGCACCGCCACACTGCGGCCATGGTAGTTCAGGCCACAAAACCCACAAGGGTGCAGGGGATGGAGGTGTGGCTGGGGCTGGTTTTGAGTAGAGTGATCATGAATCCCGGTTTGCCCAGACACGTCTGGTTTATGACTGTTGGCCCAGAGTCCCCTTTCATTCTGCAAAGTGCCCTGGTTTGTAGGATAAGCCATATGGCTTGTTCTGGAAGATTCAGAGGAACTAAGGCAGGGAATCAGCCACTGGGTGCTTACTAGAAGGGTCTCCATTCAGAGCAAAAGGAAAATAAAAGCAATCCTGTTGCCCAGAAACATCCCTGTGGTGTCTAAGACATTGCCTTTCATCTTTTTCCTTGTGCCTATTTTGGATTGTCTCTAGAAGACTGCATCTTGCTTTCTTTCATCTAACATTCTAACACAAGCCTTTTCCTCTGTCTTTACACTCAGCACACATATTGTTTTTAGTGATTGCATCACATTCAGTCATGAACCCTAATTTACATGTTGAACCTATGGGTGTTCTAGAACCTCTCTTACTTGGAAGAAGTGATTTGGGTAAGATTGAGGTTCATGCACCGGTGGAAGGGGTGTTGCTTATCCAGGGAAACGCAGTTAGAGTCATCCTTAAGCTCAGAGGCCCTGATGGGTTTGGAGGTTGTCTGGGTACAAACATCCCCACCCACAGTGGTTCCAGGGACCCCCGCCCACAGGCATGGTCCTATCTCCTGTCTACCCCAGTCAGGCTCCGGGCAGGAGCAGTGGTATCCAGGGTGCTCCTTATGAACTGGAGGCACGTCTGCTTTTTAAGAAGGTTTGGATCTTTGACAGTTTTGAAGCCTACCTTCCCTGCCCTCAGGGAGCTCAGGGTTTAGCAGGGGGAGGCAGTTATTAATGAAATGTCTCACAGGAGATACAATTACAAAATGCTGTGGACATCCATCAGTTCCAAAGACATTTTGGGGGCGGGGAAGAGGCTCCTTAGGTCTTCCCCGGTGGCTCAGAGCTAAAGAATCCGCCTGCCAGTGCAGGAGACGCAGGAGACACAGGTTCGATTCCTGGGTCGGGAAGATCTTCTGGAGGATGGCATGGCAACCCACTGCAGGATTCTTAACTGGAGAACCCCATGGACAGAGGAGCCTGGTGGGCTACAGTCCATGGGCTCACAAAGAGTCAGACATGACTGAAGTGACTGAGCCCACACACATGGGGCTGCCACAGCCCTAGCAAAAGCATAGAGGTGGTCAGAACTGCCTTTGGGACTTTTGAGAACAGTGGAGAAGGTGGCTACACCCCAGCCCCTAAGCCTCTCAGCCCCTCTGCTCATCTCAGCTTCTGCTCACAGCCTGCCTCCTCCCTGTCTGTGACAGATTCTGTGTGTTCCCTGAATGGTGAGTCACACCGTGTCTGCTCACCGCTACTCCAGCCACGGCCTCCCCCAGACCTCTGGACCTGGAGCCTGGGTGATTGGCGGTGTCTCACACTGAGAAAAGGCACCCAGGAGGAGCAGTTTTATAGGGAAGATGCCAAGATCTGTCTGTTCTGAACTGTACTGCTGTGTCTGAGATGTCTCTGGTGCAAGCAGTTGGAGCTGCGGGTCTGAAGCACATGACGTGCTCCAACCCCCACATGGGGCCTCCTGCATGTTCTGACCTCAGTGAGCAGCACATGGGCCAGACACAGACCCAGACCTGGAGCAGGCATCTTTTTTTTTTTTAATATGTATTTATTTATTTGGCTGCACCAGCTCTTAGTTGCAAGCATGTGGGATTAGTTCACTGACCAGGGCTTGAACCCAGGCGCTCTGCATTGGGAGTGTGGAGTCTTAGCACGGTACCACCAGGGAAATCCCCAGGAACAGGCATCTTTGACACGTGTTCTCCGCCACCTCCTGGTCTCAGATCCATCCCCCTATTTTCCCAATTTTCCTTTTCCAGGAGCTCCCTAATCCTTCTGCCACTTCCCTGTCCTGGCCACCATTTCTCAGCTGGCTTAGTGCAATAGGCTTTCTTTCCAATGGCTCCCCCTAGTCCAATCTCCAGAAAAACTGCCAGCCACCTTTCAAAAGGCAAATCTCACCATGTCACCCCTGTTGCTCTTAAATCCTGTCCCTGCTAGCTTTTAGACCAGCATCTGGTCACAGCTCGGGGGCCCGGTGTGACTTGACTTACTGCCTGCATGGCCTCAGGTGAAGATGCCCCCAGGGAGAGTGGGCCCAGTGAGGAGAGACCCAGCCGAGCACCCGTGTTTGAGGGAGGACACAGGACGAGGTAGGGACCTCGTCCAGGAGGGGCCAGGAGGAAGAGCAGAAAAGCAGGAGCCCCAGAAGCCAGGATCGCCCATGTTTTGAAAGAGATACCCTGGTGAGCATGATCAAATACTGCTGAGATGTCAGGAAAGGTGAGAACAGGGCAGACTGAGTGACCTGGGAGAGCTGAACCGGGGCAGTGCTGGGCAGGGGAAGGAGCAGGAGGTAGGAGCAGAGACAGTGTAGCTAACACGAATGGGACAGGTGACAGACTTGGAATTTCATCCCATGGATGACAAGGGCCTCTCTAGGAGTCGCATAATTGCTGAATGAAGTGGAGAATGGTACCAAGAGCCAGTGTGTGGATCAGAAAGAGTGCGAGCCTTGGGATCCGGCACAGCCAGCTCTATTTCTGAGTTCTCTGTTGAGATTCATTTTCTCCTTAAATACACACTGTTTGCTTCACATGTTTTCTGTGGGACCTAAAGTTTGACAATAATCAAAGGAGGAACAACTAACATTCCAGTCCATGCGGTCGCAAAGAGTCTGACATGACTGAGGGACTAAACGCTGCACCGCACTGGGTCTTCATTGCAGCTCAGGCTTTTCTCTACTTGCGGTAAGTGGGGGTTACTTGCTCACTGCTGTGGCCTGGCTTCTTACTGTGGTGGCTTCTCTTGTGGAGCACGGGCTCTGGGGCACACGGGATTCAGTAGTTGCAGCTCCCAGGCTCAAGAGCATAGGCTCAGTAGTTGGGGCGCACTGGCTTGGTTGCTCCACGGCATATGGGATCTTCCCAGATCAGGGATCAAACCGTGTCTCGATCATTGGCAGGAGGATTCTTTACCACTGAGCCACCAGGGAAGCCCTGAACCGGACTTTTTGAGGGGACCTGGTTAATGACCACAAGAGGGTTTCCCATCAGCACAGTTTGGGGAACTTGTGCCTCTTTTCATCCACATTGATTCATTCAACCAACATATAAGCCCCACAGAGGCAGTGCAGAGCTGTATACTGGGAATATGGGCGTCAGCATTCCGACCCAGTGTGTGGCCAGCCAGACTGCACACTGACCCAGCATGTGTGTGCATTGCACACGTGGATGCCTCATTTCTGTATCTGTGGTCAAGGCAGCCACTCTTACCAGCAGGCTGAGTGACACAGTAGAAGTCACCTGTCACCTCCCTCTGGGAACAGAGTGGTCCCTCCCTCCCCGGTCCTCTTGACTGTCCTCTCATAGAGAGCTGGATTTTGACCTGAGTTGACCGGAACAGAGCAGGCAGAGCCCAGAGATGTTGTTCCATCTGAGCCCCACTTTCCAGAGTGGGGCCAAGACTGTGTTAGATCCTCTGTGTCCAGGGCAGGGGTGGCTGGCCTGAGGAAGGCTGTGTCCTTGTTTGGGGGATTTGTGCCCCATATAATGATTAATCCTGGTGGTGCAGTCACCAGATACTCATTGACTGACAAGGCCAAAGTCTGTGGCGGAAAGAGCTGAGGCCGCTTTGGGCTTTTCTCAGAAATCACCTCGTCCCCTGCAGCTCTGTTCCTTATGTGTCCCCAGCCCAGTGCCCTTCTTCTGGCCTCAGGAATAGGCCTGAATGGGAGGCTGTGAACTCACAGCTGGTGGTCCCAGCCTCTGGCTTCTGGATTCCAGACATGAAGCTTGGAGGTTGGCTTCAAACTTCAGGTCCTGGCTTCCACGGTCTGGATGTGGAGCTTGTCTCCAATTTTTGGGGTCCCCACTCTGGTTCTGGCCTCCAAATGGGCTCCAGGATCTGAGTTCCGGTGTCCTGCTCCAGTTTTAGGCATCAGATGTCAAGCTCCGGGCTCTGGTTCTTGGCACTGGACTCCAGGTTCTGAGTCCTCATCTCCAATTTCAGATCCAGATGCCAGGTTCAGCTTTCCACTCTTGGCTCCCTGTTCTGGGTCGGAGCTTCAGTTCCCAGATTCAGGCTTTGTGCTACAGATCCCAAGTTCTAGTTCCACCGTCCAAGCTTCAGGTTTGGGGTCTAGGTTCCGTGTTCCTTCAGAGCCTCGGCAATGGGGCAGGAAGATGGTGGCCTCCTCCTCCGCTGGTGGGGTTACCTCGACACATCCACCTTAGTTGGCTGCTTCCTTCTGGCAACTGGCACTTCAGGTCAGCCTGGAGGTCGGACGCTCAGTGGGGCTTCTCCTTGGCTTTCTGTCCCTCTCTACACACAAGCCAGTTCTTTGGAGATAGGAGCTGAGACGGTCACAGAGCACTCCTCGCTCAACGCCTGCAGGAGTCACAGGACACACACACATGTCCATGTCCCTTCTTCTCGGACCCTCAGGACCATGGTGGACATGAACGGCATCCCCTGCAGTTGTGCAGGGCTAGGGTCCTGTGCCCAGATCTGGCTCCATTTGATTCAGTGTAACCAATCATGTGTGTTCTTCCCTATCTGGGCCTTCGTTTCCCTGTGGAAGCTGAATTCCAGCCTTTAATCCCCCAGAAGTCCGAGTCACCTGACCACCAGGCCAGGCCCCCTGCCGGGTGTACCCTGCACTGCCCTTGGGGGTGGGGTGGCTGTCCCCGGAGCACCAGACCGCGGCCACGTCAGCACTTGCAGCCCAGCTCCAGGTGAGCAGCCAGGGCCTCTACCCTGCCCCCACCCTGGCTCAGAACCAAGGTCCCTGTGTCCATCCCATACTCCAAGGCTGTTAAGGCGAGTATCGGGACAAGAGACAGATTCTCTCTTAGAGGCTTGGAGCCCCATGGGCCAGGGCCCCTGCATATCCCTGAGGAAGTCACACCTGCCCTCTCAGCCTGTGAAGGTTGTAGGATGGGGGTGGTGGAGGCTGCAGAGGGGTCAAACGTGTACTCTCTCACTTCCTTCACCCTGGGCACTGGGTGAACAGGCCGACTGCCCCCAGGGCTGCCCCGCTGGTAGCATGAGGACAAGCAGCTCTGCGACGTTACCCACCCAGAAGTCTGTGCAGTGGTTTTGAAGCATGGTCCCAGGGCTTGACCAGCAGGTGCTCCTTGCACGCATTTATCTGTAGATGGGGCTTGGCCTGGCTGAGATGGAAGATGAGGGCTCAGGGCTGCCTCTAGGGGGAGGGGAGCATGAGGGGACTGTGGCAGAGGGACACACCCAGCTGGTTAAAATGGGCTGAGGGGGCAGAAGACCCCTGGGCTGAAGACCCTAAAGGAAGAGTTTGGTACCACTCTTTGAGAAAGAGATGGCAGGCCAGCAGTGACAAAGAAATGGTCTTGAGTGCTTTGTGATAGTATAATTATTTTTCATTGTGTTCTTTAAAAGCAAATTAAAGGCAAAAGTCTCCTTTGACTACTATTCCATCATGGTCTTCTTCCCAGCTCCTTGTCAGTTTGATATGCATCCTTCTAGAACATTACTCTCCTGTCTGTACACTTAAAAGTGCCTAGTGTGTTTGTGGTTTATATAAAGGTATTGTGCCATGTTCATTGCTGTGCTTTTTTCCTTTTTTTTAACCAAACAATACTATGTCTTGGAGAACTTTCCATAGCAGGACGTACCCAATTCTTTATCTGCTGTGTGGTATTGGAGAGCACGTGTTGTGTAACCCCACCCCCACTCCATCCACTTTTCCCAGTTTTCAGGCAATAGACCACCCTGCAGGGATGGGCCCCTTTGTGTCCATAAGTGAGGGATTCTCTAGGGGCATTGCTAGAGTCACACACTGCGTGTTTTTAAGTTTTAACAGAAATTCTCAAAATGCCCCCCAGAGTAGCCATATCAATATATCCTCTTCTGAGAGGGCCCAGGCTCCCCAACGGGGGTCCTACAGCATCCAGGCCCTCCTTGGTGTGTGTCCCTGAATCAGACAGAGTGCGTGCTGGTGACACCCCAGCGACAATTCCCTGTGTGACCCTTGGACTAGTCACTTGGCCTCCTGCAGCCCTGATGTCATCCACACCAGTCTGTTTTGTTGTGAGGACAAAATGAGATAAAGGATGGAGTATTTCTAACTTGGAGACCTTGGTAGATGTGAAGTCTTCCTCCTGCAGGGCTGACCTTTACAGAGAATTTCCTGCCTGGCCCACGATCCCCTTTCTAATGAGATAATCTTTTTGGTCCCTAAGAGTAAGAGGCATCATCTCTGGGAGTGGGGATGGAAGTCTGTAGGAGAGTGGGCTTGGCTTGCAGGATATTCCAACTTTGGGAAGTTACCCCATCTCTCACCTGGTGTCCCCACCTCTCTATCCCAGGGCACGTGGAAGAATGCCACAAGGGAGAAGCTCCAGGTCCTGGGAAGTATGAGCGAGGTTCTGCAGCTGATCAGGGAGGAGATAAAGCTTGCCTCCCTGCCTCCATGTCTGGCCCCAGACTGTGACCCTGGTGTATGTGGTCCCCTGCCTGGCACCCCCACTGCCCTGCTGTCCTGAATTCTTCACTGGGACTAGACCTGTGGGCTGTGGTATTATCTGTCAGCCCACTAGGCCAAGCAGACACAGCAGTGACTAAGATGGACAAGGTTCCTGCTGACATATATCATTCTGTCAGCAAAGTATAAATAAGTAAACAAGGTCATTACAGAGTGGGATGAGTGCCGTGAGGGAAGAAAAATGGATAAAATGGTAGAGAACAGAGTTGGGAAGCACTTGGGACTTTTCTGGTGGTCTGGTGGTTAAGACTCTGAGCTCCCAATGCATGGGGCCCAGGTTCAACCCCTGATCAGGGAACTAGATCCCACATGCCACAACTAAGACCTGGTGCAGCCAACACACACACACACACACACACACACACACATACACAAAGTTGGGAAGCACTTCATATAGACTATCATAGTCTGTTTGGGCAGCTCTAACAAAAAAACCCCCAGCAACAGGGGGGCTTGTAAACCACAAAAATTTGTTTCTCACAGTTCTAGAGGTCGGAAGTCTAAGATCAGGGTGCAAATATGGTGGACTTCTGGTGAGGACCTCTTCCAGGTCGTAGACAGCCAATTTCTGTGTCCTCTTATGATGGAAGGGGTCAGGGAGCTCTCTGGGGTCACATTGTAAGGGCACTAGGGCACTAATCTCACTCATGAGGACTCCATTCTCATGACCTAATCACCTCCCAAAACCCCACCTCCACATACCATCACCTTGGGGATTGGGATTTCAACACATGAATTCAAGGAGACATAAATGTTTAGAGCATAGCACAGTGTGGTTAGAAAGGCTCTTCTGAGGTGTGGAAGCTGAGACCCTCAGTGAAGCGGGACTCTATGGTTGTAAGTCTTAGAAACTCACTCAGAGTCAGGAACACACACGACCAGTCACGACCACTGGCTTGCCTAGTGAGGAAGTCTAGGGGTGGATGGGTGAATTTAGGAGTTGAGATCCTTTTCATCAAGAATCGCCACCCATCAGACCTGCTTTGTTGTGCTGGTTTCATTTGCACGCATGTTCTCTCCCTGAATGTCTTTTCTGCAAATCCCCCAAAGGACAGTAGAGAATGACCCGGATCGGGATTCTGATTGGGGTCAGAGGATCATTCCTGAACCACACTCAGTAGCCAAGCCTGGCTCATGAGACGACCGCAACAGCCAAACAAAATGGACTGAGGGGGCAGAGGGCTGAAGGTCCCAGGAGGAAGGCCTGTACTCAACTTCTAGAGTTGCTGTTCAGTCACTCAGTCATATCCAACTCATGCACTGCAGCACGCCAGGCTTCCCTGTCCTCACCATCTCCCAGAGTTTGCTCAAACTCATGTCCATTGAGTCTTTATGCCATCCAACCATCTTGTCCTCTGTCGTTCTCTCCTCCTGCCTTCAATCTTTCCCAGCATCAGGGTCTTTTCCAGTGAGTCAGCCCTTCACATCAGGTGGCCAAAATATTGGAGCTTCAGCTTCAGCATCAGTCCTTCCGATGAATCTTCAGCATTAATTTCCTTTAGCGTTGACTGGTTTGATCTCCTTGCATCCAAGGGACTCTCAAGAGTCTTATCCAACAGTTCAAAATCATCAATTCTTCAGCACTCAGACTTCTTTATGGTCCAACTTTCACATCCATATATGACTACTGGAAAGTGAAGAGGAACTAAAGGGCCTCTTGATGAAGGTGAAAGAGGAGAGTGAAAATACTGTCTTAAAACTCAACACGCAAAAAACTAAGATCATGGCATTCAACTTCTAGAGAAAGGCCAGCAAACCACACTCATCTCTCCCAGGAATTTCAAGGGTAAAAAGTCAGTTACAAGACAGGGGGCAGGTATGGGGAGCCCCTGGCAGAGGGTGAAGAACTGGAGTGGGGAGGAGAGCTCAGCCTGTTAGCGGTGGCCACGAGCGCCCCTCACTCCTCCCAGTGCCTTTTCAAGCCTCCTGTCTCCTTGTTTCTCTGTCACAGAACACTGGGATTGAATCCGGGTTCTCTGCCTGAAGGCTGGGGCTCTCCTTCCTGGGTTCTCCCTGATTCCACATTACAGGAGGCTAAACAGACATGACGATTAAATGTGATACCTGGCCCTAGACTGAATCCCATATTAGAGGGGGAAAAATGCTATAAGAGACTTTATTAGGTCATCTTATAAACTGGAATATAGATTGCAGATTAGATAAAAGTATCTGTCAATTTCATGTTGATAACTACTGTGGTTATGTAAGAGAATATCCTTATTCTTCAGAAGTACACACTAGAGTTTTGGACATAACTTACCCTCAAAAGCTCTAAAAAAAACAACAAGTACTCACACTCACATGGGTACACACTCAGAGCAAATGCTAGAACAAACAGGTATATTGGATGCTCCTTGTACTATTTTTATTTTTGCAACTTTTTACAAATTTGAAATTGCTTTAATAAAAAGTCAAATTAAAGTGTGCCAGTGGAAAAAAGAGACATGATTCCCTTTATTTGCAGATGATATTGAATATCTATAAAACCCTAAGAGGATCTAGTTAAAAACGAAAATGAATAAAAACAACCCCACCCAGAATTAATAAGAGAACTTGGCTGTATACAAGATAAATATATAACAATCAATCTCAGATTATTCTCCATCATATATTATTATAAGATTTGAATATAGTTCTCTGTGTTATACGGTAAATCTTTGTTGCTCATCTATCTTAAGTAGCTTGTACCTGTTAATCCCATTCTCATAATTTATCTCATAAACTGAAAACAAAACAAAATGGAATCACTTTTGGTTTGTGTTCTCCATGATAATTCAAGTTATATAGTCATGACTTCTCTTCTGTATGTTTGCTATACCTCAGTTAAACTTAAAACAGAATCACTTTGCTGTAGACCTGAAACTAATATAATATTATCAATCAACCATACTTCAATTAAACAAGAGTGTGTTTCTCCCCAAAAGAATCACAGAATGTTAAAAGAGATCGTTGCTTCTCCTCCTGGGTGGGCTCTGGGCTTCCCTGGCTGCCTGGAGAGAGGGAAAACCAAACAGTCAAAGCAGGTAGGGCCAGAACCTGCCCTTGCCACAACAGCCAGTGTCCTCCTTGAGGCCGTCAAGGAATCCAAAGGAGCCCAGGGCCATGTCTACAGAGACATGCTCAGTCTCCACTAGAAAAGGAGTTGAGTGACCAGACACTGTACTCAGATTCAGAGACCTAGGAACAGCACAAGGACACCAGCAGAGGCACAGCTCCCCAGAGGGGTCTACCCTTCCTTCCCTTCCCCCTCTTCTCCCCTTCCTCCCTCCCCCACTTCCTCTGTCCCTTCCTCCCTCTCTCTGGCTGTCTCTGCCTCTCTCTCACACTCACACCCTATACTCCCATGCAATCAGGAAGAGAGGCTCTGACAACAGGAAGTCAGAGGGTACATCCTGAGGCCCCCAAGAACTTCCTGGCACTGACCTTAGTGACAAAGGCAATGCAATTTTTGGGTGGGGGCGGCGCACAGTGTAGACTGGTACACAAGGAAGACACCTCATGGCAGAATAATAATAATTATTATAATAACAATATCATACATCCAGGACAAACCCAGCTGCCCCAAGCCAACCGCACAGTCCAAGTCTCTGGGTAGACGGAGGGGCTGCCTGCCTGCACCCACAGGCCTTACTCAGACCATCTACTGGAAGAGGGGCCAGCCCCTCCTCCTGCTCCCTGCTGAGGCCTGGCACGCGGTGGGGAGGCTGGCACTGTCAATGCCTCCCCTCCGCGCTGGGCACACCTGCACTGGGGGCTAGGCCCACCTCCCCCTGGTGGCCTGGCAGCGAGGGCTGGATGAGCAAGCCCGTTAAGGGACCAAGAGGTGCCAGCTGTGGTGTGTCACTCCTCTGAGTCTCCTCTCTGCCCCTCCCACCTCTTCCTGCGGGCCTGCCCGTGGCAGGAAGGGGCCAGGGACACTCATGGCACAGACACGGCATGCAGAGCGGGCCCATGGCATGCTTGGCCCGCCAGGTGCCATGCAGCCGGCCTGGACTTTTGGGTAGCTGTCAGAGGGCAGAGTGGACAGTGGAGTCCGAGGCGCTCCCCTTGGGCTGGGCTGCTGATTCCACTTGGGGTTCAGGCCGCTGGGAGTTGGGTCCTTGGGCAGGCAGCTGCAGAAATTCTGGAAGCACTAGGTCCTCTTTGCGCAGAAGGCCCCTCTGGTCATGGGCTCCACAGCTCTGTACTCGGTTCAGCAGCTCCACCAGGCCTGGGGGTGGTGGCAGAGTCAAGGGGCCCATGGATGCAGACCTACATATGCTGGCCCACCACAGACCCACTGCCCTTACTGTGGCCACAGCCTCCCTAAACCCAGCACTAATGCTCCCTCCCTGCCCCCATCCTGGCCTTTCTGATCCCTCAATCCCAGGGGACCCTGTTCCAACCCCAGTGACATCCAGGCCCCTGCCTCAGCTCAAGGCCCTCTGAGGCTACCAACCCTCAATAGTCCTCAACCATTCTGGTCCCTAGCCGCCACCACTCCCAACGTACCTTCAATGTCACAGGTCTGCCGCTTTCCAGTGATACTACTGGGCACTTGGGCCAGTGAGTTCAGGGACGGTGGAGGGAGGTTGGTGGCCTTATCCTGGATTCTAGGCGGTCCACCCTGCGAGAACGTGGGGTTGAAGCCATAACCAGGAGGGGAGACTGATGGGCAAAGGAGGGCACCCTGACCCTGGCTCACCTGGCTGTGGCAGGGGGGTATGTCGCCAGCCTCAGGGATCTTCACACCTGCAGCAGAGAGTGCCACCATTCCTGTTTGTCTCCTGCCTGGACCTCTTGGGCCAGAGGTATGCTGGGGGACCAAGCCATGGGGCCAACATCCCTTACCTGGGAGAGTGTCCAAAACCAATTTCTGGGAGGCCACCGAACTCACTAGCTTCTCCAGATCCAGCGGCTGCTTCTCGCCTGGCTGAAGGGACAGGTCAGTAGCCCGCGGGACCAGCAGCCCGCCCCGCTCCGCCCAGGTCCCTCCACCCGGCGGCTTACCAGGCGCAGCGCCACCTGATGCGGGCTCAGGCCGTGCTTTGTCAGGATGGGCTGCAGCGCCTCCTGCAGCCGCTTGGTGGGCTTGGCCGAGATCCGCACCAGGCGCTCCAGCGCCGACACCTCGAGCCTGCGCGGGACCCTAGAGCTGCGGAAGGGTGGAGAGCCCGCGCGCCTCTCCCCCAACCCACCAGGGACTGGCCCGAGAAGGGGCGGAGCCTGAACTGGGGCGGTGGGACCGATGGGAGGTGGGGCCTCAGCCTAGGGGGCGGGGCTAGTACAGGGGCCGGACTTGGAAGGACAGCAGCCCGAACTGAACTGGGACCGAAGTGAGTGCTGGGACCCTGGGCTGAGGTGACAGACACTTACTCGAGGGTGATTCTGTTCTCCAGCCGCACTTCCTGGTCTGCCAGCACGGTACAGTCCTGATCCAGGACTAGGGCCTTCTGCAGACGCAGAGGGGCAGAGTCTCAGAATTCCTTCTCCTTCCCCCTTCCCCCACCCCAGGTCATCCTCACGTCCTTCCATGACCACTCTGGAGGCTTCCTAAGGGTCAGAGGGAAGGGCTGATGGTCGGGTGAGCCACAGAGATGCGGACAGAGTAAGAGACCAGGCTGGATCAGAGCCTAGAATGGCCCAGACCAGGGAGAAGGGTGGCAAGAATGCTGGAAAGACTTGGAAAAGGAGCAGAGTTATGGGAAACATGGAGGTGAGGTAAGCAGGAACTAGTAATGGGGCTGCTTGGTAAAAAGGGTCGGCTTAAGGGCTGGAAAAAACTACCTCTTCCTGAGCCAGGTGAGGATCTGCCCCCTGGACAGCTGCCCTTTGTCCCTCAGGCATGTGAAACTTAACTGGGCCAGCTGGACACATTTCCTCCCTCACCACCCACCTTTGGTCAGCCACCCAGGTCTTGTCCTTATTTTTTTACACTTGTCCACTTCTCTCCATTCCCACCTACTAAGGACACTTCTTGTTTCCTCACTGCAAAAAAAGAGCTCGTCCCTCCAAGACACCTGTGAGGCCAGAAGGATGTGAAGTATCTTACACAGTGCCTGACACATAGTAGGTACATAAAAGTAGTGGTAGTGATCACCACCTGGCGACCTGCACCAGCCCAGGGCTGGGAGGCAGCCTCTCCCAGGGAATAGGCCTGTGCTGTCTGCAGGGACAGGTGGAGTGTGGGTGGGGAAGTTATATTTAGCAGACATGAGAACCCATCTGGGTTGTGGAGGCTGTCTGGGTCACCAAGAGATGGGCAGAGTTTCTCCCACTGTGGCCCTCACACTCCTGTGCCCCAAGCCTCTGAATGTGCCCAGCACTTCTTAGATCCCCCTATGCTCTAATGTCCGTCCCCCACAGCTCTGCCAGGCAAACTCATCCTCATCAACCACCACCTCTTCCCTGAAGCCTCCTGGGACCACCCAGAAATGCCTACCTTGCCCCAGAAACTCTCTGGAGGGTCAACTCCTCCTCCCTGATCACATTCTGCCTGGCTCACCTCCAGCCTTTGGACCTGGAAGACCCTGGGTCCCTCTGCTCACTCACCTGGCAGGGCCTTAGGACTGTCTACTGGGTGAATGATATTCTGATAGTTCTCCCTGGGATATAGCAAACTTTCTTTAGATTCCCCCTTACTGGATGGTTTAATTTAAGTTTAAAGCTATGCTAGTATGTACCAAAAGGAAAATTTTTTATAGGCTGGATGAAGTTGGGCTTTCCCGGAGGGAGGGAGGGGTCTCCAAATGGCCATTTCAGGAATGGGCAATCTGAAGTCTGGGGGTGACAGGGAAAAACCCAGCTCCAGCAGTGGTTTCCCCCACTCTTGCTCCCAGAGACTATCATAGTCTCTGGATATGGATGAAGCTGGAAACCAGGATGGGAATGGGATGGGGCCAGGATTTTTGTGGGGTAAGAGTAGATACCTGAATTTGAGTGAGGAGTTGGTGCTGGATTGATTTGAAGTTGGGCATGGGGCTGAAAGTTGTAGCAAGAGCTGGAGTCAGGAAGGGGATAGGGATGGGGGATGGGGTTAAAGTTAAAGATGGAATTGGTGTTGGGGTCACGGCTGAGCAGAGACAGGAATGGGGAGGGCAGTTCAGGATCAGGAAGGGATTTAGAGTTGGAGACCAGGCCAGATTCACACCTGCTCATTGCCCACCAGGTAGACCTTGATGTCAGGTAGAGAGAGGCCTCGTTTTTCACAGATGCCTGCCAGCATGTCACGGATGGTGAGGCCGGGTCGGGCCAGGGCCAAGGAGGCTGTGCCATCAGGCAGGTATACGCAGCAGTACTTCCCTGGTCGGCTTTCATTCTCACCTTCTGAGCTCCCAAGGCTCTTCCGGTGGCTCTGATCCAGAGCAGATGTCAAGGGAAGTGATGTGTACACATGCAAGGACACAAAGACAGGTACACAGGTGAGCTCACTGGGGCACACACGTGCCCAAGGGCACTTGCAGGCAGGCAGGATACATCCTCCTATGGGAATACATGTATGCTCACCCAAGCCTATGGGCACCCCAGGGACTGGTCTACCCACCGACTGCTACACACACGCTGTATACACGTGGTCACCCACACATGCACACACAGGCTGAAGAGTTCACCCATAATATGCATGGGGCCCAATGCAGTGGGGACAGGAAGAAAGTAAGGAGGCTGAGTTGTTGGCCATATGGATCAAGTAGGGGATGAAGTGGGGCTGGTGACGGAGAATGAAGGTGGCCACTCAAAGGGGTAAGAGTCAGTGACCTGGGTCCACACCTAGTCTCCCCTAGCAGTTGGCTTACCTCAGATTTGCTGCTGGTAAAGGCAAGGTAGCCCAGGTCCAGACTGGCGGAGGAGTTGAGCGATCCCTGGGACTCACGGCGCAAAGCTGAGTTGGCCGTCCCGCCGGCTAGTTCTAGAGGAGAGCAAGACTGAGAGGAGGACAGGCCCCCTCTCCTCATCCCTCTGCTGAGGCCTCTCCGCACCCGAGCGGACCCTGTTGGAGCCCTTTTGCAGGGGTCTAACGGGGTTTGGGCTCCTGGAGGCTTCGCTACTGACAGGGGCTCCCCAAACTTCTGGGTTCTAGCGTGGGAACATAACCACCAGGGGAACGTAGCGGGGTGGGGGTGGGGGGTCCACAAGGCCCTGCATTTCGATTTTCACTGACTTAAACTGCGGGATCAGTAGGAAGAAGGGAGTGTTTGTTCTCCAGACTTGCCCAGATTCCTGCCCTCGCTACCTCTGCCGTCCGCTCCTGCCCTCACCCCTGCGGAAGGACTTGCGGAGCTGGCGGCCCTCAGCAGGCGGCAGCTGCCCCAGCTCTTCCACGCCCAGCGGCAGCGACTTCCCGGGCTTCAGCTTCGGCTTCTGCAAGACACACGCAAGGCACTGGCACTGCGCGGAGCGCCAGCCCGCAGGCCGACCGTGGGAGCCCCCCGCAGATCTGCACCGAGACACCGCCCCCCACAACCCCGCGTGCGCACCTTTCTCGTGGCGTCTGGGCTGCCGGGGCGCCAGGAGCCAGGTTCCCGCAGAGGGCGACCCTCGGCCTCCGCCAGGAGGCACTCGCGGTACAGAGGGGATTTGACGAAGCGCGCATAGCTGTCGAACTTCATCAAGTTGAAGATCTGCGGAGGCGGCGCCGGGCGGTGAGCTGCGGAGAGCACTCAGCGAGCCGCCGAGAGCACTCAGAGAGCCGCCTGGGTTCCAGACCCGGCCCTGGGGCTTGGTTGCATCGCCAACTTCGGGGGCGAGCCCCGAGCCCCTCCTTGCCCCAGGCGCCGCCCCTCAGCCCTTCCTTTACAGTAGACTCTCGTCTTCCCTCAGACCCACGCCCTGCCCCTACCTTTAGCCGAGTGCCAGCATCCAGACCTGCTCTCTTCCCCACCCCATCCCCACCGTCTCTGCCGCTCAGGCTCCGCCCCTGGATCTGGCCCCGCCTCTGCCCCGCCCAGCTCCCTTCAGAGGCGACGCCCCTTACCCCAGGCCCCGCCCCCTGGGACCGCTCACCTGAAGCTGCTGGGCGCGGAACATGTCCGGTCGCGGTTCTGCCAGCACCTCCTCGCCGAGCCAGGCTTGCCGGTCGATGTTCACGGGGCTCAGCGCCTGGCTGGACAGGAACTCCTGGTAGATGTTGCGGGCCTCCTGAGCTAACTGGGGCAGGGACGGACAGGAGAAGGTCAGGGGCATGGCTCAGGGCTTGGTCCCATCTCTCGCAGCCTCAGGTCCCCCTTCTCCGCACCTGCTGGGTGTCGCTGGCCGGGATCTGCTGGAAGCGCTCGCAGGCCTTCCAGAAAGTCACATTCTCAGCACTGAACTCCTTCTTCAGGAACTCCTGGGGGTGGGGAGAAGGAGAGGCAGGTGGAGACCCAGAGACCTAATCAGGAGATGTGGTCAAAGAGACTGGGATAGAAAGAGGGCCCAGAGACCAAGCCAGACAGACAGATGGGATCAGATCCAGAGGCACAGAGAGGAAAAACAGAGGCAGAGAGAAGGAAACTTCCCAGTTGGGAGAAGAGCAATGAGTGCCAAAGATAGGCTGGATGAGGAAGCCAACAGAGGAGTCCAAATCTGGCCAGCCTGAAACTCCAGCCATGCCCTCTCCCATGCACCCCCCGCCCCCGCCCTTCCCCCCATGGTGGCCACTGCCATCCGCCCTCCCTATCCCACCCCAGGGCTTACAGTGAAGTAAGCCAGGCCCAGTGGGTCCTGTAGCAGCCGCTCGAAGGACAGGCCCCAGCTGGCCACAGGCTGCTCCTCGGTGGGGAAGGGGCTGCTGGGGCCACTGGGGAGGCTGTGGATGCTGAGGGAGCTGCCTCGGCCCTCGCCCTGGCCCTGGGGCCCAGTCGTGCTGCTCAGCTCTGCAGGGGGATGGACAAGTGCAGGTGAGCCTTGAGGCCTTCCCCAGCCCCTGGCCCAATCCCATCTCAGGTACTTTCCCTGGAAAGACAGCAAATGGCAGGGGTATCCCCACTCTTTCTCCAAATACACCCCCCTCAACCCCTACCCCCAACTCCAGCCAGGCTTTCTCTATAAACTTTGTCACTTACCTCCATCGGAGACAGCCAGAACCTATAAGAAACCCAAGGCAGAAAGTCAGAGGAGAGCCCCGGGTGGATTCTCAAGGGACAGTTTGAGGCCCAGCCCCTGGGACTGAAGCTGTGTTCTCATCTGCCTGGAGGGCCACGCTGGGTGTCCTCAGCCGGGTCACTGCTTGCTCAGGGTTTTGCTCAGGCTGCCCTGGGTTCCCCTTCCCCATCATGTGCCAACCACCTTGTGTGCTAGGACTTATGCCAGGTACCCTCCAGTCACTCATGGTTGACCCCTAGCTCCCACTGGGTGAGCCTGGGTGTTGAGCATGTAGGAACATAAAGTTTGAATCTTGCTTCTGTTACTTCCTAGCTGTGTGACTTTGGGCAAGTTACTTGTTTGTCTCCATCTGTAAGTGAGGGGAGGGATGATAATAATAGTGACTTACTTCCTGTGCCTGCCACTGAAGGTCAAATCAGCTTAATATATTCCCAGTATCTACAACAGTGGCCAGCACGTGGCAAGTGATATATCGATGTTTGCTGTTTTCTTTGAGAAAGGAGAGATTACCTGTGTAACTGATGATCCCCTTATTATAACTGTTTCTTCTTGGAAACACCCTACCTTGGGCAGGGCATGGGGTTCTATTTTATAGTAGAGAGCAGTGGTTCTTAAATTTTAGTGTGCATTAGAATGATGGAGGGGCACCTCTGGAGCTTCAGGCTCTCCGTTTCTACTATCTGAGCCACCAGGGAATCCCCCAAGGCTCTCCATTTCTTTTTTTTTTTTTTCCCCTGTTCTGCTTCATTTATTTATTTATTTATTTATTTATTTATTTATTTATTTTTTAATCACAACCATAGTGTATCTTTTTTTTTTACATGTATTCCCCATCCCGGTCCCCCCTCCCACCTCCCTCTCCACCCAATCCCTCTGGGTCTTCCCAGTGCACCAGGCCCGAGCACTTGTCTCATGCACCCAACCTGGGCTGGTGAACTGTTTCACCCTAGATAATATACGTGTTTCAATGCTGTTCTCTTGAAACATCCCACCCTCGCCTTCTCCCAGAGTCCACAAGTCTGTTCTATACATAGGAGTCTCTTTTTCTGTTTTGCACATAGGGTTATCGTTACCATCTTTCTAAATTCCATATATATGTGTTAGTATACTGTAATGGTCTTTATCTTTCTGGCTTACTTCGCTCTGTATAATGGGCTCCAGTTTCATCCATCTCATTAGAACTGATTCAAATGAATTCTTTTTAATGGCTGAGTAATATTCCATGGTGTATATGTACCACAGCTTCCTCATCCATTCGTCTGCTGATGGGCATCTAGGTTGCTTCCATGTCCTGGCTATTATAAACAGTGCTGCGATGAACATTGGGGTACACGTGTCTCTTTCGGATCTGGTTTCCTCGGTGTGTATGCCCAGAAGTGGGATTGCTGGGTCATATGGCAGTTCTATTTCCAGCTTTTTAAGAAATCTCCACACTGTTTTCCATATTGGCTGTACTAATTTGCATTCCCACCAACAGTGTAAGAGGGTTCCCTTTTCTCCACACCCTCTCCAGCATTTATTGCTTGTAGACTTTTGGATAGCAGCCATCCTGACTGGTGTGTAATGGTACCTCATCGTGGTTTTGATTTGCATTTCTCTGATAATGAGTGATGTTGAGCATCTTTTCATGTGTTTGTTAAGGGCTCTCCATTTCTAACAAATCCCAGGCAATGTTGATGTGGCTAGTTATGAACCTCACTGTGAGTAGCTACAGAGGTCAATCCCATCCTCTGTGCCCCCTCCCTCACTCTCCACCCCGGGTGCACAATTCTGACTTCTCTGGGAATCCCAACCATCAGTGAAACAGAAAAACCCTCCTTTCAAAATGACTCTTGCAGTGGTTTCCCTTGGTCTTCCTACCTTCCTTAGCAGCTCCTCCAGCTTCCTCATTATCTATACATGCAAGGTGGCCTTTACCCTTCTCTGACTCTGATCTGGGCCCTTTCTCCCTCCCACATCTCCCCAGCTTCAAACACACACATAGCCAACTTCCTGCTGACATCTCTACCCAAATGCCCCATAAGCCCCTCCAGCTCAGCCAGTCCCAAATGGAAGCCACTTCCTGCCACCACCAATGCAGGGCAGAGAACCAGCTTCTCTGCATCTGGTTTTCTTCCCATCACTGGGGTTTGACTAATCCCTGGTTCCTTCCTCCATCGGCCCTGCTGCATTTTCACCAGGTCCTGTCACAGGAGCTTCCACCACCTGCCCCTTCACTCCCTCCCTACTGGAAACACGTCTGCAGATGTCTCCTCCCTAGGAAGCCTCCCCCTGCCCTCCTGGCTGGAATCTCCCTCTTTGTCCCCCACTTCTACCTGGGAGCACCCGGGTCACACATCTGTGGGCCAGAGCTGGCCTGCAAACAGGTAGGATGTTATTAATATCAGAATGTTCTTTTTTTAACTTTAAAGGGGTTTCCCACATTTAAAAGTCGGGCATTTTACATGAAACCCCAGTTTCTGCCTTAGCTACCCTGAGCTTCTTCCCAGCATGGCAACCCTGGCTGTTCCTGAGCAACAACTGGCTCCTCTAGAAGGAGTTCACACTCTCCTCAGAGGACTCTGGGGCCAGTCTGAAGCATTTTTGTTACTTACAGAAGCAGGTCCCAGACAACCTGAGTTCGAGTTTGTGCTCTGTGACCTTGGACAGGATACTTCATCTCTCTGTGCCTCACATTCTCCCTCTGTACATGCTAAGTCACTTCAGTCACATCCAACTCTGTGCGACCCTATGGACTGTAGCCCACCAGGCTCCTCTGTCCATGGGATTCTCCAGGCAAGAATACTGGAGTGGGTTGTCATGCCCTCCTCCAGAGGATCTTCCCGACCCAGGGATTGAACCCTCCTGTCTTATATCTCCTCTGGGGCAGGCAGGTTCTTTACCACTAGAGCCACCAGACTGGGCAAATAATGGTCCTGACTTCAAAGGCTTGCTGTAATTAAAGAAATTAAATATACATAGAGAGAACTCAGAGCACCACCTGGCATGTGGTAAATGTTCAAGGAACATAACTATTATTGTTGTTGCACTAGTATTGGTGTCTGACCCTGCTTCAACTTTCAGCTTTGCCAAGCCCTGCTGCAGAGGGAAAAGCCCCGGTACTGGGTCTGTTGGACCCGGATTCAGATCCTAGCCCTGTTCTCTTCTAGCTTTACCACCTTGGCCCCTCCTTGAGCCTGTCTCCAAGCTGGAGTGTGGGGATAAGACGTTGCTGAGGAGGAAGGAAATCTTGTGCAGAGGGAAGCTGGGCGTGGAACCAAGCCGGGCACCCTCGCCTGGTCGCCCCAGCCTTCGCCCAGCTGCCTCTGCGCTCTCCCATCTGACAGCTTCATCAGAATTCTCCCCTGGGGCTGCGGGACAAACTCCTGGGGTGTGTGAAATGGACAAGCTGAAGCTCAAGATTCCTTCCAGCTGTTCTTTCCCTTTCCTGGCAGCTGCCCACATGGTCGGGGCTTCCCAGGTGGCACTAGTGGTAAAGAAATTGCCTACCACTGCAGGAGACCTAAGAGACACGGGTTCGATCCCTGGGTGGGGAAGAGCCCCTGGAGGAGGGCATGGCAATCCACTCCAATGTTCTTGCCTGGAGAATCCCATAGACAGAGGAGCCTGGCGGGCTACAGTCCATAGGATAGCAAAGAGTCAGACCCAACTGAAACGACTTAGCACAAACTCACGCCCTCTTGGACACCTCCCTGCCCCGAATTCTTCCTCCCCAGGCTGCTCTGTGGCTGTTTCCAGCCTTGGCCACCAGGTCAGGTCTCTAGGAACCATCCTGACTTTCCCCTCCTCATCCACAGTGGCCATCTGGCCCTCCCTCCTCCTGCACCCAACACCCACTGGCCTCTCTCTGGCCCACCCTCCAACCTGGACTCAGCCTCTCCCTTGCTCAGCGCTCTCCACTGCACTCTCCCCTGGTTGGGGGGTGGGTGGTGGAGTAGCAGGATGCTCACGGGCAAGCCAGGACCCTAGGACCCCAGCCCAGAGGGGCCTGGGCTGGCTTAGACTTGTTTTGTTCTTTACATCCTGTTGGATGGACTGCGTCTTTATTTATTTATTTTTTAAAATATGGAACACTTCACGAATTTGCGTGTCATCCTTGCGCAGGGGCCATGCTAATCTTCTCTGTATCGTTCCAATTTTAGTATATGTGCTGCCGAAGCGAGCGCTGGACTGTGTCTTTAGATGGGGCTGGCTCCCAGGTCCTCTTCTGGTCCCACTGCATCTGGGAGGCAGAGCAGTTGCTGGGTTACAGCTGAAGCTCTGCCCCAGGCCTGACTGATGAACCTCTTCAGCCTCCACCATGGCCTCCCCCTCATCTCCACCCTCTGCTTTATCAGACTTTTATTTTCCCCACACCCCTTCACACTCCTGCTTCCTGCTTTGCTGTTTCCTCTGCCTGGTATCTGCTCCTGCTCCCGTTGCCCTACTGCTCTCCAGTCTCTGCCTGTTGACATGCGTTATCCCTAAACACCAGCTGCCCTGATCCTCTGTCCAATGCACGCTGCCTGTTTATGTCTGGACCACTCCTCTTCCATCCTGTAGCTCCTGGAAGGCAGGCCTGTACTACAGGAGAGAATTGGCCTGAACTCCCTCCATAAGGAGCACTCGCCCAAGTGCTCCCGAGCAGCCATGGGGGCCCACATAGCCCTCCTCTGCCCTCGCAGGAGGCACTGGCACCCCTCCATCAGGGATGCTGTGGCTCCGGACCCCCCATCTCTGTGGCCTGCAGTTCTTCCTGGCCCTCTCTTGCCCCACTAGATGTTAACCCCATAGAGCTGGTGCTGAGACAGGAGGTGGCAGGGAGTGGGGACGGAGTCCAATTCCAGATCCACCATTCCAGGGCAAGTCACTTCCCTTCTCTGCACCTGTTTCCCCCAGGGCAGTCTGAGGCTCAGCACTCGCATCCTCCGAGGTTGCCAGGAAGGGATGTGGTGGGCGCGCAGCGAGGAGAGTGGCTGCTGCTGCGACTCAGGGCTCTGACCTGTCCAGGCTCCTGGGCCTGGGGAAGTTGTGCCGAGCCAGGCTGGCCTTGCCCCACCCTGGCCTGCCTGAGGAGAAGTGGTGAGTGAATGGGAGAAAAGGGGAAGAAGGGATGAGGAAGGGTGTGGTGGCCAGTGGCGCCCCTGACCCATGATGTGGCTTCAGTTTGCCATAGTTTTTTCCTTGGAAATGGGCACTGGGGGAGTCGCTGGTGTCTGAGAATACCCAGGTGAGAGTGGCCCGATGTTTCCTGTGCTCTCTCTGACAGCAACGGCACACAGCCACGTTCTCCCTTCATCCTCACCTGGGGTGGTAGGTGTTATGGCTTCCGTTTTACAGATGAAACCCAAAGAAACTACACAGCCAGGGAGCACCCAAGTTGAAATTAAGGCCCCAGTGTGCCTGCCTTGGGAGCCTGAGGTCTCACCTCCATAGTTTCCTCCCTGCATGCACAGGAGATGTACCAGGGAGATGAGATCAGCCCCTGGGGTGTAGTTGGGCAAGGTTGATTGGGGTAAAAAGCTCAGGGGCTCCTGGATGAACTCTGCCCTCTGGAGGGGGTCAGACTTCAAAAGGAAGGCTGATTTACTGAGCAACTTCTGAACCAGGCCCTCTATACCAGCATCTCATTTCATCCTGGCTTGGGATGACTAGGCCCCAAGGTCCTCTCTGGGAAGACCCACGGCTGCCCAGCTCTGCAGCCTGAGTCAGCCCAGTGGAGCTGACCCCTAGCCCTGAGCTGGATTCCAAGGTGCAGTGGGCTCTGCCTTGCAGGTCTTCCCCAGCAGGAAGACTAACTGGGTGCCCTGAGAGTGACAAGACTCAGCAACTCCAGGCTTTAGGCTCACCAGCCCCCAGGCCTGGTCCGTGTGCCCACATCCTGTTTCCCCGAGTCTAGGCATTTCCCCAAGCTACTCCCCGCTCTGGCTGGCACGTCCTTTCAGGACACCTTCCGCACCAACAATGCATGAAGCGACTAGAAAAGTTGGTTCTCCCTCCCAGGTCCTCCTCAAGCTTTCTCTCTTCCTGACCCACGCTCTTAGCCAAGCCTGCATTTTATCCCAGCATTTCCGCTTGTGCCCTTTGTGCTTTGCCAGACCAGGAGCTGTTTGAAGGCAGGGGCTCGGGCAGTGGGCCTGGGTCCTGATGCCTGGGACAGGGCCAGCACTGAGCAGGCCCGAAGGAGGGGCTGTTGAATGAATGTGTGAGTGAACAAATGAAGCAGCAGCTGGGACTGTGTGACGGCCTCTCTGGGAGGGGGCTGGGAGCCATCTCTAAGTGACAGGTTGCATTGCAAGCGCCTGACAAGCTGAGTGGCAGAAAGATGAGGCTGACAATTGAAGCTGCCTCAGCAGGGAATGACAGGTGGGGGTGGCGGCAGGGGGAGGTAGGGGAGGACGAGCCAGGCAATTCTGGGAGGCGGAGGAGTCCTGGCATCGAGTCAGATCGGTCAGGTTCACAGGCAGGTCCCTCTACCTGCCAGCTGCCTTTAGCACATCATGTCCTCCTCTGAGCCTCCCTCAGGAGATAACTCATGGAAGGAGGCTGACAGCTGGACCACATCTGTGGATATCTGAATCTGATGCCTGCCTGTCCCTCTCCATTTCAGCTGAGCATGGCTGCAGAAGGCTGCCTGAGGGCCAGTGAGTGGCTAATCTGTGACCCTCGGGATGCCAAGAGATAGCACAGAGAGTCAGGATGGAGTTGGGGAAGGGCAAAGATAAACCTGAGTGTGAAAGTTTCTGAGAGGAGCTGGGGTGTCCATGGACTTAAAGAAGCTATGGGTTGACATGAGATGGGCAGAAGCTGGGTATCTCAGCCCTCCGGCTGTCCTGCAATTCTGGGCACTGCTCAGAAGCATCAAGTCAGCTACCTCTAGGGTGGGCGTGGGAGTGGGCATGTTCCTCCTTGGCGTGGATGCCCTAGGAGGCATGACCCAAGCCCCATGCCTCCAGGGAGTGTGAGGCCCCTGCGTGCTCAAACTTTCAAAGTTAGGTTGATGGTAGATAGTGAGGTGGGGGACTGCGCCAGCCTGGAGGGGTTTGCCTCTCTACTACCCAACAAAGAGATCCTGGAGGAAGAGGTGTGGAGACGGGTCTTGGGAATTAGTAGGAGTAGGGGTGGGAAGTGGCTCAGCTTCTTGGTGAGGCAGGAGATCCTTGAAGAGGGGCTGAAAATGAGGGGGGCATTGTGCTGACATTTAATGGAGACTCCCCAGTAGGTCAAGGACCTCAGATTCATTATTCCACTTAATCATCTCAAGTGGAGGAAACTGAGGGTCAGTCCCTAGTCAGGGACAACAGAGCTGAGGTGAGAACCCAGGTCTCTGTGGACAGTACTAGGCTGGGGCTGGGTCAGAGACTAGGACACTGTCTGGACTTTCTGGAGTTTTTAGGAGGAGCAGCCAAGTGGGCTGGTGTCTAGGGGAAGAGACGAGAAGCCCAGCACAAATGTCCCATCTGCTGAATGAATAAAGAAGCTGCCTCTCCAAGGGCATCTCTAACCTGGACCCCAAGCCACCAGAGGATTTAAGGGGTGGGGCAGTGGCAATAGCCGGGGCCATCCCAGGGCTCAGCTCCCCCCTAGCCTTCCTAGCAGCCCAGGAATAGAACAGACAGGAGTTGCAGGGACCTAGCATGATCCTGCTGACCCACCCCAGGCTGCCCAAGGACTGCTAGCTGTGGCAGGAAGCCTCTGGAGCAGGTCTCGGTGAGGGTGGTGACCCCGTAGGAGCTGCCCCTCACCTGATCGTGGACATCAGGATACCAGGTGAGGGAGGGGGCTGAGGCTAAGTGAGGTATGGGGGTTCAGGTCCCCGTGGGGGTATACAGGGGGCAAAGGGCATGCCAAGTCTGCCTGCTCCCCTAGGAAGCCGGCAGCCCCAGATGGTGCCTAAGTAGCAGGTGAGAGAGCAGCGGGGACTGGGCCAGAAGCCTACGGCTGTTCTCCTGCACTCTCATCCCCAGGGTGGCCTCAGGTCCCCATCAGAGCCATCTGGAAGGTCCTGGGGTGAGGGCAGTGGGTTCCACCACCTGCTGCTGTCTGTCCACAACTTCTCTAGCCCAGCCTTGCCGGGTGTGCCTGTTGGGCTCCACCCTGGGTGTGCCTATCCCCTCCCCGAGGGCCTGGCCCAGAGCCCGCACTCACCATGCGTCCGTTGGGGACACCCAGGTGCTTGGGCTTCCCTGGCATGCCGCTGCTCTTCACGGGTCCCCGCCGCGAGGGGCGCCCACCATGGGGACTGCGGGCAGCTCCGGCCAGAGCTTGCACGATGACGGGCAGATGACAGAGAGAACCCAGGTCTGCTCCTGCGGGCCCTCACATCCTGAAACACCAGCTCACTACCTCTTTTCTCTGCCACAGGAAGTGTCTCTATAGAAACCGAACCACAGAAAGAAGCAAGGTCTAAGAGAGAGAATGTTTCTTCCTACACACACACACACACACATACACACGCAGGCGCGCACACATTCACGCGCACACACACATGCCGCCAACGCACCCTTGGCAGTGCCCCACGCAGGCACCAACACACAGCAGAGGCCTCTGTGTGCCCAGCGAGGAGCCCAGCCGAGTCTGGCCCATCTGGGGAGTTCCAAGGGCACGTCTGGGCACTCAGAAGTACATGTTCACACACCTGGGTGCCTTTGTACAAGCTGCAGGGGCTCCCGTGGACACCAGGACGTATGTACTGTGATCTGAGTGTCCACGTGTGTTCTTCACTTGGCACACACCTATCCCATACCTGCCATGTGCTGGACATATGCACACTCAGCGTCTTTCCCCCTGGCAGTTGTATATATACAGTTACCACCTCTGTCCTGAGATAGCTCCAGGCTGTCCTTCCCGGGCCTGTTACTGTGTGTGCAGAGAAATGTCCACATTGCAGGCATGGTCACGCACACACACCTCCTTTAGGTTCTCCTTCATCAGGAATATCTGGGCATTCAGTCATGTGAATGCACAGTCCCTTGGACATGTGCGCGTGACAGTCACACATGTGCACAGGCACCTGTGAATTCAGGCACCCCAGTGACAGACACATACAATCAGGTATGCACACACTCGCCCACCTGGGCAGGGAACAGGTCAGGTTCCCAAAGACACCCGTGCATTCAAGTCACATGAGAGTCTCACCTTCATGGAGTATTGTCGACTGAAGAAGGGCACCCTGCCTCCACGGCCTGGCCCAGGCCCAAATGAACTCAGGAACTTCAGAGTCTTCGGTTGGCCTCTTTTTTATATGTGCGTGTATCCAGCATGGGACTTGTATTTTACCTCAGTGTGGGCTTACTTGGGACTTGCCTGGTGGCTTATCAGTAAAGAATCTGCCTGTAATGCAGGAGATGCGGGTTCTATCCTTGGCTTGGGAAGATCCCCTGGAGGAGAGCATGGCAACTCACTCCAGTTTTTGTCTAGAGAATCCCATGGACAGAGGAGCCTGGTGGGCTGCAGACCACGGGGTTGCAGAGTCGGACACGACTGAAGCGATGGAGCATGTACACACACATGGGCTTATTAGAGCTCTCAAATTGCTTGCCACTCCAATTTGGGCCCCTCTTTCTACAAGGATAAGGTGACACCCCCTCTTTCATATTATACCCTCTACTCTATTGCCCGCTTCTAGGGCCATGACCTGAAAACTTCAAAGGCAGAAACCAAGTGACTCTTCATGACAGATTTATGTCCTCTTCTTTGGCACACGGCTAAGCTTTAGTTTCCCAGGCTCCCTCACAGTCAGGTGTGGTCCTGCACCAACTAGTTCCCATCAGCTGAATGTGAGTGCAGTGGAGGGTACAAAGGCTTTTACATCCCGTGTGTCTTCCACATTCTTTCCTTTCTCTTTAGCTGACTGTATACAGAAGATGATGAAGCCCTAGGGGCTTGTGGAACCACAAGAAGGAAGGAGCCTAGGTCTCCACGTTAATGTAAGAAAGTAAGCCACCAGTCAACCAGGAACACCAGCTTTGGACTGTTCAGAGAGAGAGAGAGAGAGAGATCAAGTTCCTCGAGCTGCTATACACATGGGGTGTATTTGCTATAGTAGCTAGCATTATCCTAGTTAATACACCTCTTTGCCCAGTTCTAACTCACTTCTTTCTAGACCGCTTGCTCCAGGCCACCAGATTGTCACTGCTCAGTCACTCAGTTGTGTCCAACTCTTTGCAACCCCATTGGACTGCAGCATGCCAGGTTTCCCTCTCCTTCACTATCTCCTGGAGTTTGTTCAATGCTCAGTCTCATGTCTATTGAGTCATGAGACTCATCCTCTCATCCTCTGTTGAGCCCATCTCCTCCTGCCTTCAGTAAGTCATTCTTGGTGTGTGTATTGGAAGTTGCATCTGGAGCATTGTCAATGGTGGTCTTAAGTTCTGTGACAGTGTCAGTATATCTGTGACAGGGGGTGGTAGAGTGTGATGTGAGTGGCAGCTGCCTGCCTGTCTGCTGTGCCATGGATCTGGGCCTAGATTCATAAGGCTTTAAAGTTTACAAAGTCTTCCCCCAACATGACCTCCTTTGATCCTCACAACCTGCTTGTGAATGGTGCTCATTGAATAATTCTACAGTCAGGAAACTGAGATTCAGAAGTGTGTTGCTGGGCTTCCCTGGTGGCCTAGTGATTAAGAATCCACCTGCCAATGCAGGGGATGTGGGTTTGACCCCTGGTCCAGGAAGATCCCACATGTTAAGCAACCAAGCCCATGCTCCACAATTACTGAGCCCGCATACAGCAGCTGCTGAAGCCCGAGTGCCCTAGAGCCTGAGTAACAAGAGAAGCCACTGAAGTGAGAAGCCAGTGGTTTGCAACAAAGAGTAGCGCCTGCTCAACACAACTAGAGAAAGCCCGCACGCAGCAGGGTTACACATCAAGGTAGAGCTCTGCTGAGCTGTGGGTGTGTGTGCCTGAGGCGCCAGGAGCTGGCCCTGGGCCACCGCTGGTCCAGGTTCCAACAGCTCATCTTCTTCCCCGCAAAAATTAATTACCCAGGTCCTGCCTGGAACCCCCACCTCCCCGCAAGCACATCCCCCCTTGCTGCTGCAGAGATATGTCTTCCCACCACTACCACAATGGATGCCAGTTTTGGCACAGACTGAATCTTCACCCCAGGGACCTCCAGCCAACTCTGGGACTTCCCACCTCTCAGCCCTTGTTTAGTTTTCTCCCCTCCATAATGATGGTGATACTTCGACGTCACAAAACACAGTTCTCAACTTTTCTTGCCCTGTCTTCCCACAGGGGATTTGTTACTGACATCTAGTTTCCCTGTGGACTTCTGTTCCCCCTTCCCTGTGGAAACCTTCCTGGCTCAGGCCCACCCTCTCTCATCTGGTCATAACACCTTACTTCACCTGTAACCTCCCTCCAGTCTTTCTCGCTGTAGCCAAGGAAACTCATGATTGGTCACCCCCATGTTTAAAATCATCCCATTGCCTTCTACTCCATAGCTGGAATTGAAGGCTCTTTGAGTTCTGGCCTCAGCCATACTCTTTCCCCTACCACTCCTCAGCCATTCCAAACTGTAATTCCTTTTGCCTTCAGGGATCTTTCCTGGTCTTTTCATTTCCTGTTCCCTTTGCTAAGGATGCCTTTCTGGTAAACTCCGACTCATTCGTCAGGGTCTCTTTCCAGATTCCAGACCAAATATTCATTCTTTTACCAATTACTTATTAATCACCTTCTGTGTGCCAAGCACTTTTCCAAATGCTGGGGATTCAGTAGTGACAACAGCTGATAAAAACCCCAACCCTCATCGAGGTCCAAGTGTATGCATATGTCCTTGTTTGCATGTGTGTGCTGTGCATAGTTGCTCAGTTGTGTCTGACCCTGTTTAAATATGGATATTTCTTTGGGAGTGTATACCTCTTGGAAGAGGACTTTTGTTGTATATACGTCTGATGTTGTTGTTTAGTCGCTAAGTCATGTCTGACTTTTGTGCCACCACATGGACTGTTGCCCACCAGGCGCCTCTGTCCATGGGATTTCCCAGTCGAGGATACTGGAGTGGGTTGGCATTTCCTTCTCCAAGGGATCTTCCCAACCTAGGAATTGAGCCTGCATCTCCTGCATTGGCAGGTGGATTCTTTACCACTGAGCCACCAGAGAAGCCCCATATAATTTTAAAAAGATGTCTTACTACTTAATCCTGAAGAAGTTCATTCATTCAAAAAGGCAACTTCTTGAGACTTCCCTGGTGGTCCTGATCTCAGGGAGGCAGCAGTGAGTGGTGGCATGAAATGAGCTCTAAATTCCCTACCGAGTAATTGAACCTGGGTAGCCTGGGTACCAGGAATCTTAATTGCCAGACCAGCAAGGGCTAGAGGCTAGAAGCTATTTTTCCCTGGATCTTTGCCCCCAGTGAAAAATGCACTTATCACAAAGGCAGAAACTGTAAATGCAGGTACAGAGTTTATTATTGGAGACATAACACAACAACAAGTGGGAGAGCAAACAGAGAAATGCTTTGTTAAGATAGAAGCAAGGCAGAGATACACACTGGAGAGAAAGGGTGTGGGCGTCCCCATTAGTGAAGAGGAACACAACAAACAGGCAGTCAAGTCATTTATATAGGGCAGTTCTTCCAGGTCTTTGTCTTCCTTCAGGCCAATTATCTGGTTTCTTTTTTCACATCTGGCCTACCCTGGGATACTCCCCTGGGTGCGCTTGCACCCTTCAGCCAAAATGGATCTCTAAGTGAAGACTTCTGACAGGAGCAAGACTTACTATGGCCTGGCATTATCCCCTGATTTTTGACCCACAAGCAGCCTTTCTGCACAGGTGTAACATCTCCCTTGCCCCAAAAGAGGGGGGAACAGAGATCCTTTAATCCTTTACTCAAACAGGGTTTTGTTCCTCTTTGTCCTTGCCATGACTGTTACCTTAATGTGTTTACAAGAGGAAAACACTGGTTATTTACCCTGTTTCTGCTGTTACTTCTGTTTTGGAGGGCAAACAGGAAGCTGGTTGTAAATGCCTTAACTGGGGTCCACCTATCTCTTGCCTCAAGAAGTGCTAACAGTTGTTAGTATCCAGCCTGAAGCCCACTTCTTCATGCCCTATGAAATGCAAACAGGAAGCCAGTTGTAAATGTCTAACCTGGAGCCCATCTATCTCCTACATTGGTCCAGTGGCTAAGACTCTGTCCTCCTAATGTAGGGGGCCTGGGATCCATCCCTGGTCAGAGAACTAGGTCCTGCCAACTAAGAGTTCACAGGCTGCAACTAAAAAAAAATTCCCACATGCTACTACTAAAGACTGAAGATCCTGTGTGCTGCAATTAAGATCTGGAGCAGGCAAACAGTTTTTTTTTTTTTTTTAAAGATGTGTTGTTGAGGCAGAGAACAGCAATTTAAAAGAGAGCGGGGCCAACTTTTTAAAGGAGCAAGCAACCAACTATTCCACCCTGTGATCTATAACAGGGGTTATTAATTCAAGTGTATGGGGGCCAGGCAGGTGCTCTAAATTAGTGGCCAGAGTGGACAGGAGCTTTGAAAAATAAGGCATTTTTAGCAGGGCATCCCCATGACCCAAGTGTGGTTGGGTCTTCGATTTTTCCCGAGAAGCTGGAAATTTGGATTTTTAATAGCGATTTATCTCATGATTTAAAATATTAGTAGTTGAGCCATTTACTGAAATAGCATCAGTAAGAGCTCTGGTTAGCTGTGGGCCACCTGTTTCCCACCTTTGGTCCAGTCAGCTTCCCTGGATCTTTCACGGAGGGGACCCGCTACAATCATCTGGATATGAATGGGCCCCAACCATCACAGGGATGGGACTTCGGGCCTCCTCCTTCTGCTGAAATCCAATTGGGCCTGAGGAGCTGGGAATAGTGGACGCCACCAAATAGAATTCTAAGTTTGCAAGGGCTTGGAGCCACAGACGAAAAAGCCCCGCCTGAGATCTAGACGGCGCAGAAGTTGGAATTCAGGCCTCCACCTTCAATTTAGAACTCCTTTCTCCTCTGACTGGGAAAGATTACCCCACAGAGCTGACCAGTGGCCAGAGGTCAAGTGTTCTGGGGCCCATAAAAACTACAAGTTCCAGCATGCCCCGCTTCACAGACGACCCCCGCGCAGCCGGCTGACACAAATCATCCTTCCGTTCCCCGTTGGTCCGCAAACCGAACGTGCTGTTCCATGATTGGTTGCTGCTCTTGTCGCTCCTAAGAACCCATTGCTGAGGCTGGTTGACAGGTGTCTCGCAGTCGCCAAGGCACTCGACCAGGATAGGGGGCTGCTTAGCAAATAAAGCCGTCGTCCACTCGGCAGCGAGCCTTTGCTTTTGCTGGGAGTTCCCAGGTGACACTAGCGTTGGTGGGTTTCGGGCCGGAGGCTATTAGATGGAACACCCGGAAGGCGGAAGTCCTAGGACGGAAGTGGCCCAGAGGGACAGAGAATGGCGGCGGCGGCGGCAGCAGGTTGGATTTGGCTCTGGGGCTGGGGCCGGCGTTGCCCAGGGAGGTCTGGGCTTCGCGGCCCCGGCCCAGGCCCCACTATACTTCTGCTTTTCCTCTTGTTGCTGGGGCCGGTGGTTGCGGATATAACTGACGGCAACAGTGAACATCTCAAGCGGGAGCATTCGCTTATCAAGCCCTACCATGGTGAGGCCTGTGGCGGGAATGAGTTTAGGGTAAGGTCGAGGCTGGACGGGGTTGGGGAAGGGATGCTCTTTCTTCTGATTAGGGCAACCCTGTGGGTTCCCTGCCTCGGCAAAGCTAGTCCTGGCCCGGCCTCTTAGGCAGCTGTCTGTCCTTGTCTCTGTCCTCAGGGATCGGTTCCAGCTCCACCCTCCTCTGGGACTTCCAAGGAAGCACGATGCTCACGAGCCAGTATGTGCGTCTGACCCCTGACGAGCGCAGCAAAGAGGGCTCCATCTGGAACCACCTGGTGAGTGGTTCCTAAGAGGGGAGGCAGACCATGAAGTAAGCCACTGCAGTTAGTCTTCAGCAGGCCTGAGCTTGATTTGAAGGCCCCCCTGCTCCCCCGCCCCCTTGGTCCCTTGCCTTAGTACTTGCCAGTAGTAACAGGTGATGGCTGTTGAAGTTACCACATGTCAGGAGCTGTTCTTGACACTTTGTGCACCTGTCTTTTTATTCCTTCAAAAGCCATGTAAAGTAACTGATGTTATCTCCGTTTCGCTGGCTGAAGAAGCTAAGACTCAGAGTTGAAAGTGCCTTGCTCAAAGTAACATAGCCAGCAAGTAGTGGAGCTGCTTCAACTGAACCCTCTCATTAGTGGGATAAAGGGAAGGAGTGGGGTCTTTATTGGGTATTTTATGTGTGTTAGGCACTGACTTTAACGTGCCTTATTGCACTTAGTTCTCAGACTGATATAGGTGGCTTTCGTGACTCTGCATAAGCAGAGCAAACACAATGAATGGCTGTAAACAACATTTAAATTCTGTCTCATCTCCAAGTCCAGCAATTCACTTGCTACACTTGACCGCAGCCTGGATGGTGGAGGAACCCCCTAAAAATCCTTGCAGACATCAGTCCTCTTACTCAGTGCTTGATTGAGGTCATCAATGGACTCCTGGGCAATTTTAGTTTCTGTGACCTTTGCTGCAGAGGTTACGGACCTTCGGGGGTCACAGGCGTGTCATACAGAAGCAGTGGCCAAGATCTGCTGCTGCACAGACGCCACACCAAGGAAGGTCAGGAAGGGGTGCAAGGGGAATAACTGGGGGCAGAACCTACTCCTCCCCTCAACCTGTCTGATCCCAACCCTTTCCATCCCTAAGCAGTTGGCCAGTGTCCTAGTTTTATCCATCACCCCGCTCTTTGGTCTCTCTGAATGACTTCCCCATGTAGTTCTGAGAGCCCACACCGTCCTTGTGTTGCCTCGTCTGCGTGTGACTTCTCCTCCTCCTCTCTTTCCTGCCTGGGGGATCTGGAGATACTTTGCTTAGCTTTCACTCTGATCCTCAGAGCCTGAGGTCTCCTGTGAACGGATAAACATGCACTGTGTCTGCACGGTCTGGCCCCTAGTGCCTCGCATCTCCAGTCATCCTCTCAGTTAATATTCTTCCAACTTCTCTGGCTGCCATTTTGCCTCAGGACCTTTGCACTTGTAGCTTCTGTCTGGAACACCATCTCCTGGCTCTTCATGCTTGCTTGGTTTCTCCTCACTTGTTAAGTTTTAGTTCGAGTGCCACCCACTCAGAGAGTACTTCAATAATTACCCTGTTTCCCCTGGAGTCACATTCTCTCACTTTATTCTGTCATATAACTTAAAAAATTCTCATTTTATGATTGTTTGGCTGTGCCAGGTCTTCCGTTTCGGTACAGAGGTCTTTGATCTTGTGGTATGCAGGATCTTCCCTGACCAGGGATTGATTGCTCCTGAACCCCCTGCCTTGGGAGCGTAGAGTCTTAGCCATTGGCCCCCCAGGGAAGCCCCTAATTTCATTTTATATTATGGCTGATTTACAGTATTGTGTTAGTTTCAAGTATACAGCAAAGTGATTCATTTATACATATATCCATTTTGTTTTCAGATTCTTTTCCCATATAGGTTATTACAGAATATTGAGTAAAGTTCCCTGTGCTGTATTGTAGGTCCTTGTTGATTGTCTATTTTATATATAGTAGTGTGTTTTTATTAAGCCCCAACTCCCAATTTTTCCCTCCCCCTACTACTTGTCCCCTTTGGTAACCAAAAGTTTGTTTTCCAAGTCTGTGAGTCTGTTTGTTTTGTATATAAGTTCATTTGTATCTTTTTTTTTTTCCCTTAGATTTCACATAGAAGTGGTATCATATGATATTTGACTTTTGATGTCTGGCTTACTTCGTATGATCTCTAGGTTCATTTATGTTGCTGCAAATGGCATTATTTCATTCTTTTTATGGTTAAGTAATATTTCACTGTATATATGTACATTTTCTTTATCCATTTCTCTGCTGATGGACATTTAGGATGCTTCCATGTCTTGGCTATTGTAAATATCACTGTGATGAACATTGGGGTGCATGTGTCTTTTTGAACTATGATTTTCTCCAAATATTTCCAGGAGTGGGATTACTGGATCATATTGTGGTTCTATTTTTAGTTTTTTAAGGAATCTCCATGCTGTTCTCCATAGCGGCTATACCAGTTTACATTCCCACCAGCAGCATAGGAAGGTTCCCTTTTCTCCGCACCCTCTGCAGCATTTATTATTTTTAGATTTTTTTGGTGATGTCCATTCTAACTGGTGTGAGGTGATGATACCTCATTGCAGTTTTTTTTTTAATCCTTAGGTAGTTTTTTATTATATCCTCCAAAAGATCATATGATAAGAGTCAGAGCAGTGGCATAAAGTGTTAAAGAAGTTCAGGAGAGAGTTAGCTTATAGTCTTCAGGCTGGGGTGGATGTGGCTTCACAAAAGAGGTAGCAGTTAAACAGAAGGAGGTTCCTTCTTTCCCAAGAAACCAAAACCCCTTTTGCTTTCTTCCATACGTACATCCATTAAGAGTACTCTTCTTTGCCAAAAGAAAAGTTTGAAGTCATCTGAGGCCATTAAGGAATTACAGGGCAAAAATCATGATAGGTTTCCAGTTTTCTTCAGCATGCAGGGTTATCTGCTCCGTCACGGAAGCTAGACTAGTGGTGGCTGTGCTCTCAGGTTCCACACCTGGGCCAGTGGAGGCAGTTTCCTGGCAGGTCAGTGGTCATCCCTCCTTCCCCAAGGGGGCCTGCTCAGGAGCTGGCGTTCCTCTCCCCAGGTAGGCAGCAGCCAGCGTCGCTCTGGGGACCTGGAACATCACCGCCACTGCACCCAGAAAAGCTAGAAAAATGATACCTACCCCTCTTTCCCCAACCTGCCCCCTGCCCCGAAGCGGCTCTTTGACTACCCTTGGTGGTGATAGCAGTGGCGGTGGTCAGCTTGCCCCTCTGCCCCTTGCCCATGGCGCCATCTCCACACTGGCATTAGCGAGGACTCAGCCCCAAGCCCCCTCTACTGCTCAGGCTGTGCTGCCCGCAGGGCGCTCGTTATAAGTTCTGATTTGTATGTCTCTAATAATGAGCGATGCTGAGCATCTTTTCATGTGCTTTTTGTCCATCTGTCTGTCTTCTTTGGAGAAATGTCTATTTAGATCTTCTGCCCTTTTTTTTTTTTTGATTGGTTGGTTTTTTTGATACTGAGCTGAATGAGCTGTTTGTATATTTTGGGGATTAATCCTTTGTGGGTTGCTTCATTTGCAAATGTTTTCTCCCCTTCTGTGGATTGTCTTTTTGTTTATGGTTTCCTTTGCTGTGCAAAAGCATTTAAGTTTCATTGGGTCTCAGTTTGGTTTTGGATAACTTTTTTTTCTTTTTTTTTTGCTGCACTGCAAGGCATGTGGAATCTTAGTTGCCCAGTCCGGGCCCCCTGTGGTGGAAGCACGGTGTCCCAATGGCTGGACCGCCAGGGGGCTCCCATGCTTTCGGATAACTTTTATTTTATTTTTTTTTTAAAGTTTATTTATTTTTAATTGATTGATGATTGCTTTACAGCATTGCTTTGATTTCTGTCATACATCAGCATGAATTAACCATAGGTGTACATGTGTCTCCTCCCTCTTGAATCTCCCTCCTCCCTCCAGCCCATTCCCACCCCTCTAGGTTATTGTGCAGTGCTTAGTTGATCAGTTGTGTCCAGCTCTTTGCGAACCCCATGGACTGGAGCGCCCCAGGCTCGTCTATCCCTGGGGATTCTCCAGGCAAGAGTACTGAAGTGGGTTGCTGTGTCCTCCAGGGGAAGCTTCCTGACCCAGGTGTGAACCCAGGTGATTACAGAGCCCCAGTTTGAGTTCTGTAAGTCATACAGCGAATTCCCACTGGCTCTCTACTTGTATATGTTAGTGTATATGCTTCCATGCTGCTCTCTCCTTGGATAACTTCTAAGAAGGATATTTTTCAAGGAAGTGAGTTCAGCATAGCATACTTTTTTTTTTTTTTTAAGTGAGGTACAAATTGTGCCGAAACTGCTAGAAATTGGTTCAGTCACAAGTAACTTAATTATGATTGGAGGTCACTGGTGGTTGGTAGTGTCACAGGGATGAGAGAATTCTGCACTTGCCATCATCAGATTTTCAGTCTGGAATATAATTGTCTTATCTTCCTGTTGAGTGGAATCTAAATATTGCAATTTGAGATCCACTCTTTTAAACGCTGTGTGCGTGTGCTAAGTCACTTCAGTTGTGTCCCATCTCTTTGCAACTCCATGGTCTGTAGCCCGCCAGGCTCCTCTATCCATGGGATTCTCCAGGCAAGAATACTGGAGTGGGTTGCCACGCCCTCCTCCAGGGGATCTTCCTGATCCAACCCATGGCTCCTGGACTGCAGGCAGGAGCTGAGCCACCAGGGAAGCCCTTTAAACACTATTAATAATCCCAAGTTGTATGTCATTTTTTAAAATTGAACTTATATTTTCATTTCACATCCCACACAGAATTTTATCCTAATGCAGTGTATGTAATGCTTAAAAATCTTATTGATTAGCCTATCATGTTCCTCTGTGACTAAGTGTAATAATTTAAGCTTTTTAACTTTTTTGGGACCTTGAAATTAAGTTTTCATATTTTCTTTGGGATTATTATAGTTACCACTGGTATACAGTTGATCAAAAGAAATGCCTTACACATTACACAATTTTTGAGTAATTACACTGAGTAAACACTTTTTGAAATGCATCTCATTGAGCTGTCATCTCCCCATCCCCATTTGATTGAATGTCATTGTCAGAATGAGAAGTTTAAACATGACTTCTGCTTTTTGTTCACGTAAATGCTGAAAATTTATGTTCGCTTAAGTAGTAGATGGAGATGCGAAGAGTTTTGTTATAGCAGGGGTCATTCAATATTTTGAACTCCTTTGATTTCTAAACCCCAGATGTAGTGCTCTTTCATCAGAAATTTTAATGGAA